CATTATTGTCTGCTGTTTATTGCAAAATGTATCAAGCAGATTAATTATTATTAAAATTTCATTTGTATTTTCTTTTACCCTTCCTCTTTCCACCTCTAAAATTCCTGCATCAAGCCCTTTTGTCTTTTGTTGTAATCAAGATGATGTCATACACTGTTGAGTCCTGGTATTTCACTAATGTCTTCATAAAATTTTTTTTTTAAACCCTACAAGAGATCAGGGCTTAGTTGTTTCAAGGGCAAATAAAGCTCTCTCGGGAGTGGATAAATCCCCATCCAGTGGATAAGCGTTAATAAAATGTACTGTGTTATCCATCTATTCTATCCTTTGAGCAACCACGGCATTTGTCTGTAATGGATTGATGTTATAGGAAAAAGTCACTATTGTTAATCATTTGTGGGAGTTACAGAATCTGATATGAAGACTGGACTGAATTTTCTAAGACTAAACTTGCTAGTGAAGGATTCCTGACATTCAGATTCATAGAAGTTTATCATTACCATTACTTTCTAAGTATTATAACTTACTGGAAGTTTCTTTATACTTTACTCACTGGGAAACATTTCTTTTCTGTTCTACCCTCAGCAACAGCAGTTCAGCATTGATCCAGAGTGCCCAGGTTAATATACATGCAATACCCAATATCCAAATCCCTCTCTGAAATGCGATGCCTGCCATGCGATAGTTCTTGGCTCCAACAGCTTGCGAGCCTAATGTCTCCAAAGCTGAAGACAAACCAGTGAACAAAGATGGTCCCGTGACATTGACAAATGAAATAGCTAATGTCCCTGCTGCTAGTTCAACTTCTCCAAGACGTCCCGCAAAAAACAGGGTTATCATGGAGATCAAATGGTAGAAAAAATAAGAAAACACAGTGGGCCATGCAAGAGTAAACAGTCCTCTGATTTCAAGACAAGTAACACTTGATAACAATCCACCTAAACAGCCAGATGTCCTCTCCAGTCGATAATGTTCATCCTTTTGTCTAATATGTATATCAAATTCATTGTTTGGTGACACAGATTCCAATGCATCATTGGCCATTAGGTTTTGGGTATGAGATCTATAAACAAGGTCAGTCAAACAGAACCAAGATAAGAATTGGTTACTCAAAAAAATCCTAAGTCATATATACCTTTCCGGCCAAGTTACATTATTGATTTTATGTTCCATAAGCAAAATTGTAACGCAAGTTACTTGGAAATCTTCAAGTGATGCTTGAAATAGTAAACCTAACTACCAGTATTCACCAAATTTCCTTGAAAAAAATGTCCACGCTCTAAATAACCACCCTCCTTCCACCATTAAATCAAACAAGTGCCTGTCTCAAATTAACATCTCCCCCCCTCCTCCTCCGTCACTTTCTTAAATAGTAGGGATATGAGGAAAACCTGTTTCTACTGCCACTTAAGTTAAACTTTTTAAGCTGCAACTGCAGTAGAACTAGTACAGGAGAATAATAAGCACCCCTCTTGATTAAGTGCCCTCCTTCCCTTAAGCAATGCTCCTTTTAGCCAAAATTTTAAATAAGTGCCAAGGTGCTCATTCAGGTAAATACAATATCTTAAGTTTGACCTGTCTGACATATTTTCAAGTTCCATTAAAATTCTCAGTCAAAAAAGTTATTATTGCAAATGTATCATTTCAAATGCATCCCTCTTTGGGTTACACAGTATTGAAATTTGCCCATATTCTCATAGAATTCTTAAAATGAGTTGTTGAAGGGTTAGGAACAAAACATCCCCATCCTTTCCCCAGTTAAAGGGGGTAAGAGTACAACTGTCTTCCCCCTTACTTTCAGTCTACATCAAAAAACAAGAGTGACTCACTGACAAGGAACAATGGTCACAATTTATTCTCACTGAAAAAGAGTAGTATATCAGTGGTGGAAGAAAAACTTTCAGCGTTGCTACTTAATTATTCAACAGTTTTATAATAGAGATGTAAAAGAGAGAAAAATAGTGGGATGAAACATGGACTACGGGACAATGGATCGGAATACGGACTTGCGAACTAGTCGTGTAACGCGAAGAATGGTATCCAACGAAGAATAGCAGTTACTTGAGAGAATCGTGCGGAGCGACTTAAAGAATTTTAACTTCTATTCTTGAAGAATTTCATATTAGGAGTTCAACTTTCTCAAGGTTGTTGATGTTGACGAGTTTTTGTACATCACAAAACTTTTGATCGACGATTTTCGACGCGCGTTCAAACAAAGCCTTTGTTATTAGCCTTTGCCGACTCTTTCGGGTAACCGCCACACGTTCATAGCCTTTGCAATCGTACCTTGCCTCGAAATGCTAATAGTTGTCTTTGCAAAACGGATAATAAGTGAAAGATCGGAGCTTTCTAATTTTAATAGCGCATTTATCCTTTTAATATTGGACCGATAGGAACCAAATTAACAAGACAACCGCACTCGAGGACCTCAAAGCTAAGAATCATACCGTTCTTACCTATTTGAAACGCTACGGCTTTATCCAAAGGCTCACGTTTACCACCTTGTCGCGTGACTTCCAACACTGCAAAAGATCTTCACAGCGTTTTCGCTGACGTAACAAAATTCACCTTCTCAAATAGGCCTACGACCTTCAATGGTTACCCCGACCGAAATGTCATTACTTACCCCGAGTCCCTCCTGTGTCCAGCCGCCCCCTCCAAGTTTTCCCAGACCCTATTGGGAGCAATTCACTAAGACAACAAGAACAAAAAGAATACCTGCCCTGTAATATTCTTGACTCAACGTAAACTGGGCAGCTGTTTTTAAGCTATATTTTTCCCCGAATTGAAAGAAATACAGTTATCTTGTACCCCATTAGTCTCCTGTAACCTTTTCATTCCAATACTAAGTAATCTATGTGATCTAGAGCTCTTGGTACCTGATTGTTTCCCATGCTTCAGTCACATTTCTTTCAACTTTATATTGGTTAGAATTACTATTTGACTATCTAACATCACAAAATAGTAATCAGGAAATTAAGTTTCACCCTTTAACTCCCATGAGTAACCATGAGAGAATTTCTTCTTACAGTGTCAATGCAATATCAAGCAGACAATATTATTGATGAGAATAAAGAAAAAAATAGCCATAAATGAATTGTTAGTTGATCCGATTCGAAATTCTCTAAACTAACATCATATGAACTGTATGGCAGATAGTAAGGTAAATTAATGATGAGATCTTGGGTGTGAGAGTTAATGCTGGCTGGCATTTGTCTCTGGAGATTCATTAATGTCAAGAGTTTAAGACTTAAACAAACAGCAAGGAAAGAGTAAATTTTAAAACCCTTTAATCCCCAAGAGTGACTAGCATGCACTATTGCCTCAAAATCAATGGCAACATCATGAGAATACAGGAAATAATTATGTTGCCAAATATCGAAATAATTTAGTGGCCAAAATTTTTTGCTACTTGCCATGGAGACAGGTAAGGTTGAAACTTAGAGCACTGGGTCAAGAGTATGATTCTGTTCCTAGAGGGTTAATAATAATAATAATAATAATAATAATAATACAAACATTTCTATAGTGCCCTATTCTAGAGTTCTAAGGCACTTAACAATAAAATGTTTAAAACAGTAACTTAGCAAATAATAAATTCGAAAAATACCAAAGCAAAACTACAAATCGAAATAGCGCTTAAAAAGATAAGTTTTAAGGTTGCTTTTAAAAGATGTAAGATTTAAACTACATTTCATATGCTCTGGAAGATTATTCCAAAGTTTAAGGGTACAGACCAATAAAGCACGATCACCATAAAATTTTAACCTTGATCTAGGTGTCACTAACAAGTTCCTGGTTGATGACCATAAATTCCTAGATGGCTTGCAAGCTTGCAACAAATCATGAACATAGCTAGGACCTAAATCATTTAAAGATTTAAAAGTCAACAGTAGGATTTTGAAAACAATCCTCTGCTCCACAGGAAGCCAGTGTAGCTCCCTTCGTAAAGGGGTAATACAATCATATTTAGAACCACATAAGATTAGATGCGCCGCACAGTTCTGAACTAATTCTAACTAACTCAATAAGTATTATTACTAAGATGGAATATTTCACTCTTTAACCCCTTAGCCCTTAAGAGTGACTAGCATCTGATTTCTCCTTACCATATCACCCCTGAATCAAACATGAAAGTCATGAGAATAAAGGAGATGATAACAAACTAAAGCCGCTCTTGATTGTTAAACAAATTCTCCTTGTCAGCCTCTTTGGAAATGTATAGTGAACAGTATGGAGAATGTGCAAACTGATGTTAGGGTGAAAAGGGTTAACAGGAAAATTAAGAATGAGATAATGGCAGTTTGTTAGGTACATAATGATCTTAAAACAAGATTTTACTACACAGAACAACAACTGAGACTGCAAAGAATCACTGAAAATTGTGTATTTAATACAAGTGTGGACTTAAATTGATGACATTTTGACAGCTCACTACTAGATGAAACAAAAGAAATGGCTCTATCTTGTTCCTGTTTAATTTTTCTGTCCATAAAGAAGGTTGTTTACAATTACTATAAAAGCTTCCTCAACCAATGAAATTCATGACCACAAGATGGAGAATGATGCTGGCAAAGATAAAATCAGCAAATGCTCTCTCTGGAGAAATCCCTTTGAAATCAGAATAGTTGGCTGGGTTGCTTTGCACTCGTAGACAAACTGTAACAAAAAGTATTACACCATTAAACAAGAGAAATTGCTTCATAGGGGATCAATCATTCAGTGATTTGTTATAAGGCAAAACAAAGAAACTAGTAGACATGATTTGAAATCAAATGAAAAAATTATACATTAAATGTAAGTGCATAAAAGTGCAAAATAATACAATGCTAAAGCACAAAGCCACCATCACTCCAATTAAATTTCCTCTCTGTTCCTGTGCAACAGGAGTTGCAGGTAAAGCTTTGTCTTGAGCATATGTTAAATTCCACCATTGTAGAACATTTGGCCATTAATTATGGTTTTGTTATTTTTTTCTCTCAAAATCAAGCCCACAAATGATCTTAAATATTTCAGAAAAACCAATGCAAATTGTGAGCTCAGTGTTTCCGGAAAATTACAGCAAATTGTTGGTTATAAAATTCTGTGCTAGAGTGGTATACTTCACTTACGCAAATACCACGTGTCTTGTAAGATCTTTCAATGTACGTGTCACACGCAGAAACTGAGACAGTAGATTGCCCACAATTTACTCGCAAAACATGCTAATATAACGAGTGAATATCAGCGTTCGCTCTATATATCTTCTTACCTCCTAAAACAAAAGATCCGACACAGGAAATAAATCCAGACAGGAATGAGTTGAATGGAAAAGTTCCCACTAAGCAACAGTACACGAATTGAATGATTCCCGTTAGCATGATGTAAAACAGATATGCATCGACTATCTTGAGCTTCTTTGGTGTCGTCTGGTTGTATTCATCATAGAATTTCACCAGGATGTTCTTTATGTTGGAGAAAGTATCCATATTCGTATCCCCTGAGGTACGTGGTGATCTTTCCACACGACAAAGAGCTCCAAGAAAGGAAGAAGAATGAAATGCAAAGCATCATGGGTTTTGTTGACGTGTTGGACTGGTGCTAGTTTTAGAATTTTGGCGCCGAAAGTTTTTTCCTGATCGATGTGATTTTTGCGAAGATTTTTTAAATTACGCTGTGTTTGCTTCTTTATTCCTCTACCAGGATGTCGTGTTGGGAAGAGCTACAAACGAATTCGTAGATCAGAAACAAGGTTAACACAAAAAGGAACGCTACTTCGACGAAGAAAAATATGTCCATTATGAGTTCTGAAGGGCCGCCGCTTCGTTCTCATCCAAGCTCAGAGCTTGATTACTATGACATCGACGACATACTGGCCACACAAGGAAGAATTCCATGTAAACTAGAAGCACAAGTTTATAATCTGGGCTTCTTAGATCCTAGTTCTGAAGGAAGTGATCTCCAGGCTGGATCAAAACTCGAGCTTCCATTTTGGCTGGCGAAAGAACTTTGCAACAGAAGAAGAAAAATTGTTTCGGTGGACATTCCTAAAGCTTACAGAGACGGCTACCGAGAGATTTTTAAAGCCGACGCTAGTGTTGTGGATCTTCATCGATTAGGACCGTATTTTTACGAGTTTGGAACAAAGTTGCTGCTTTTTGATTTTGAAGAAAATTCCCAAATGGCTACTTCCATGCAGGAGGTACGTTAACTTTGTGTTTAACGAGAGATAGGCGAGATGGGGATGAGGTTTTTTTTTTCTTTGTTTGTTTGTTTGTTTTTCTCTTTTCTCCCCTTGGGTTGTGTTGGTAAGGGGGAAGTTTGCGTCGTCAAAGTCTCAAAAAAAGAGTGGGCAAGATTTCTGCAACACCACCATACTTTATCGTTGAAAGCAATGACAAGGACGCACCCAAACCAGTCGCTAAACACTATTATCTCCCTAATCTTCCCAAGAAGTAATCTTTCCAGGTCTGTTACGATAAAGGAAAATGCAGAAGAGAGTATTGAAACAAATTCAGGCTTTAACTGGAGTTGAACCTATGCCCCCCTGCCTCCCTGCCCCCCTCCCCCCTCCCCCCCATCACTTATTAGATACAACTATTTAATGAGTCACAAAGCCACAAATAAGGAGCATTGTAGGTTCTTCATTCCCACAGAGGAATGTGATCACAATCAAGTGATGATTCATTTGATTGCTTGGCTGGTAACATAATTTTAGATGATAGTAAATACTGTTGTCAGACCTATCGCAAGTTCTGCCCTTATAATCTTCTTATAATCTGACAAGAAAAAACTATGGGTCCAGTAATTTTCCCTTTTAGCCAAACAGTAAAATGTGCTGTTGTGGAGATTTCCCTCATTTAGTTTACTTGTTTGTTTGGTTTTAATTTTCATCTACCTTAGACCAATTGACAGAAATACTCATCTCATTGTTAACTGCAAGTAAATTTGAAACACCCATTGATGTGACTGGGCTTTCCTTTCAGACATTCATGAAGAGATTTAGAAAAATAATGGATTCATCTCAGAATGCTGCAAATGAGGATACCTCCTTGTTAACAAACAAGCTGGAGCACATTGAAAGACAGGTGTTCACTGCAGGACGTAAGGGAGTGAAAGAATTTCTTCAGTGGGAGGCTGGCAGAACATCCAAACTTACAACATCAGAGAATGTGGTCAACCATAAAAAACGCAAAAGGTCTATGATTGAGTGAAATTTCACACCAGGCTGGGTCAACAAAGAGGTTTGGACAATGCCCTAGATTTACTGTGTTCTTAATTGTACAATTGTGATTTAAGAAGAAAGTATACCCAAGAGAGTACGTTATTCTATATCTCCCCACTTAAATATCTGAAATTGACTTTGAAAGCAAGAATTTTGTCTTTTTACAAGATAAGGCCTATAAGCTGATAGGTTTTTCTGTTCTTGTTACCTGTTAAGTGGATTAAGTATAAGCATAGAGAAGAGAAGTTATACCAGTATGTAATTTTGGTCCATGAGGTAGATGGTTAACTTATGTCCACACCTTTTGATGTACTGTTCTGTCCTCTTTTTTTTTAAAATGAGTCTGCTAATTTATTTTTTGCAGCCTATTAGATTTAATATACTTTATTTCATTCTTTCCCTCACTTTCCTTAAATTGATTTACTGTAAATGAATACGATTAACAACTCTACCATGGGATCTGTATATGTTTTTGGCCAAACACATCTTGAGAAACTAAGGAATTTTTTGAAAATCACCTATCAGCTGTAGCACCATAATAACTAAATGTGAATAGGATGTAACTTGGAACCATCTGCTTATTTTTAGTAGACTTTTATTGAACACAAACTTGTTTTAAACAAAACACTCTCTTGTAACAAATAACAATTATTAGAAATATCACACGAATCACATACTGTCAACACCCAAAAGTGGAATTTATAAATCTTGAAGTAAATTTTTTCGTGAATATCTTATGTACTGTTATTTAAATTGATCATTATTCATTAATATAGACACTACACTAGTTCTAGACATTGATATGAGTTTTCTTTTAGAATCTAATTTTTACTTACTAGCTTTAAACCCTCTAACCCACAAGATCTCAGGGGTAAGTCTTCCTACTGTCTACCATGCAATTCTAACTTATAAGATTAGTTCAGATAATTTGGTATTGAATCAACTAAGAATTCCCTAATTCATATTATTCTTTATTCCTTTTACTTTTCTGCTTAATATTGTTTCAATATCGTAAGGAGAAATTCCTTCTTGGTCACTTGGGGAGTTGAAGGTTTAAAAAGACTTACAAATCTTACTTTATTGTGAGCTCACAACTACATTTTGGTTGGTATGGAGGTTGATTAAGGAACAAGTCAGATATATTAATTCCTCTACAAGAGACATGTCAACATGTCTCACTTTTTCAATCTTTGATCAGCTGATGATTTGAAGTTGAGAATGTGGTACAGAAATGCCTAGCTTCTTTGAGGGTAAAATTTCACAGACCACAACATCACCAACAAATTGACCTTAATTTTCTATTTTTACTACACTACTTCTATTGGTCATAGAAATGACATAAACAGTGTTCAAATCTCTAAATACAGCTTTGCTCTGGGACTCTGCCCTCAAACTACTCATAAACAAATACATTTTCTCCCAACTAGCCATCAGCATGAAACAGGATTGGCATCTTAAATTTGCAATTAGTTTGTAAGGTTAAAGTAGTTCTAAGAAAATTCATCCTTTCACTCCCAAGATCTAATTTCAATTCTCCACATTATCTGCAATACATTTTTTATGTTTCAGATCTGATTATTTTTTGTGAAATCAAATTATAAGCCTTGATTGAAATTTTCCTTCTTCTCATCACCTTTCTCATGGAAAATGTATAGATATGAAAAGGTGAAATTCACTGTTGGTCAATCCTGGGAGTGAAAGGGTTAAATTTCATCAACTCCTTCTTTACAATCACAATTTAATAAATTTAACAGCTTCAACCTAGGTTCACTCATGGGTATCTTACCACCAATTGTTTTGGAATGAGCTATTTAGCTATAGTTAACAATAATATTTACTTTATTGTTCTACAATAACTTAAAAAAAATAACTCATTATTTTCCTCTCTAAACACCAATGAACAAATATATTGCCCCTCATCAAAAAAAAAATAATAATAATAAATAAAATATACACGACTGTTTATGGATGACATGGTCATTCTTTACATGAAAGCGATCTTCACAGTACTGAAACAGTATCTTTCATGAAGATTGCTTTCATATTCATTTCTTAAACTGCAGTTCACACATATGATTTCATATATTCATGGTCAATGGTCAATGTGTTTTTACAAAGCTCACCCAATCCATTGTATCTTGGTCCTTGTTTACTGCCAATAGTAAATAAAAATGTCAGTTAAGATAAATGATTACTGCTGTTGAAGAGGTTCTTTCCAAAATATTATTTGAAATTACTTTTTGAATAAAAACACACTTTTAAATTGGAGAGTGACTGGGTCAAATGTAATATTTACATAGAAAAGCCTTCTTTTATCAAAGTTTCTTGAAACAGAAGATCACTTTTAACATGTAGAATTTTGTGAAAAAGGCTCCAATATTTTAGCTTGTGAATGTTAACATATAACCACTCTTGTATTGATGTAAAAGATGATACAATATTTAACAAATTTAATTTTGTGAACAACTTTAGAATCTTGGCAGACTAAATTTCAGTGGCTTGAGCCACACTGAATCCAGATGTGGAAATTCTATGTTGCTAAATATTGCCACGTGATTGAGAATTTAATCTTTGATTATTTCCAAAAGTATTGTAGACAACATGGTCTTCCCATCATTTCTAATTAGAATACCAGTGCAATCATCATTTACACAAGATGTGTGTGGCCCGATGGTGGCTGTACTCATATTGAAAAGTGTCATTAAATAAAAACATCCCCCTATGAGAGCCATATGCCATAACATCATAACATGAGCAGGACTAGAATTAGATGTAGCACCCTAAAACATGCCAGCTGAAAGCAGAAAGGAAGAAAGTGAAAAAGCAGCCATCCATTGAAAGCAGTCAGTGAACTCCCTTCTTTTATTTTGGGTTAGATTCCAGGTGGGACTAAGACCCAACTTTTCCTTTTATGTCTTCCAATATGGCAAACACTTCAGAGTCGGCAAATAAGAACACTCCAATAACAACATAGCAGGCACCAAGACCAATCAATAGTTTTCTTGTTAAGGTGAGAACTGGATATTGTAGCATCTCTTGAACAAGGCACATCCCTGAACAAAAAAAAAAAAACAGGAAAAAAAAAGATGAATTTGTGTAAGACACTAGACATTGCAAGTGAAGAAATTTGAGGTCATGATTCATGTAAGGCTAAATTTATGTTGGTGTTTTTGCATGTGCTACCCAACCGTGCAAGGAGGATTTGTTGTATTTATGGCAATTTTGAATTAAGACATTATCCACTCAAAATTTGTAATATTTCTTCATAATGTCTGCAAGATTCGCTAAGTCTTCACCATTTCACAAATAGATACCATGTTACCATGCATCTATTCAGTAAAAGATCACTTATGAGGTCAAAATGCAGTAAGAACAAAGAAGTGCAACATGAGGCACAGTCTGATCTGATCTTTTGACATCTGTGATCTACTACTGGAGCATGCCAATATGGAATCTGTTGGCTTTATATAACAAAGAAGCAAAACTTGTCAGTAGTAACAACATCTATGCATAAGTCCCCTGATAGGTCATGAGGAAGAGCCAATCAAAATGCATCTTGGGTGTAGAGTTCAGCTTCTTAGGATAGAACATTTTCTCTTGGCATGAAGTGTTTGCTTACCCGGATAAAAGAAAATGAACAAGGCTGCTAGTCCTCCAACAAATGTTATGGCATACAATACATCCTGCACACACAAAGAAATTATAAGGGATAACCCAAACCAAAGTAGTATTTCAATGATTCTCCGTTGTTTTTCATCTTTTCCTGCTTTTGTGGGAGGCACACTGAAGGCTGCCACATACAAGCCATCCAAACTGCTCCTGTAAGTAACAGAAATGAAATGTTGTTAAAATTGAGCTTTGTAAAAATTTTAAAATTCTTGGAATATGTACTATATTTAACAAATAGAGAAGCCTGCTCAAACTCCCCACTCAAGAAGTGGGGAAAAACTCAACTATGTCTCGTTTTTTCCCCTACACTTCTTTCATGCTCTAACTGCTTCCTGTGTGCTTTGCGACAGAACAGAGCACAGCCAAGGCTTCTCTATTTGTTTTATAGTAACTAATCTGTTAAATTCCCCATGCATTACTTTCAATTTTCAAAACAAACTTTACTTCCAAAGCACTTTACTTCCAAAGCAAACAACAGCATCATTAACAAACATGCTCTATACTCTGATGGAGCAGGCTTTCAATCAATGACAGCTTGCATTATATCCAAACTTTATTATAAACATCCTCACAACTGAGTACCAGGGAAATTTCACCAATTTTAACTTTTGCGATTTTGTAAATTTACCTGTACTTTCAATAACTTTCTTTTTTATTGTTGTTGTTATGGTAACTGTCATTACTTGATTGTGAACTTGGTTTGTTAGAAGTATTGACTCTTAAACCCCTAATAATGTTCGACATCTACACTGTAATTTCTCCTCACAATATCACCCCTTAATCAAACACTAAGCTGGACAGAATAAAGAAAATAATCACCAACTAATGAAACCCATGATTATTGCATAAATTCTCCTTCTCAGCAACTCAGGAATTGTGTAGAGAGAAGTGTAGATAATATAAATACTGATGTTACATTTTAAATGGTTAATGATCAAAAAATAACTGCAAAAAATATTGGCAATACACTATCTTACCTTCCACAGAAAACAACCACTGCTGATGATGTTAAAACTATGAGACACATTGTGACCCTTGCTATATTCACTAGAATGTCATTAGATGGATAACTCTTCAGCACATCACTTTCGACATTTGTGCCAAATGTAAGGTAACCAAATGTTCCAGTGATGATGTAAACAGTGGAACAAATTGTCATTGCTATGACAACAACAATGCCAAATCTGGGTACACTTGCTCTTTTCAGTTCTGCATAAACAGCCACTGACTGTACATGACACTAAAAACATTGGATAGACCACATTAGAAACAGTAGTGATTGCAAATATCAAGAACTGTGTGCTAATAATGCACAGAATATTATTTTTTGGGATGAGGTTCTCAGACTGTGAATAGACAGTTGATGGTTTGCCATTGATTGTGTAAGGTGTTACAAGATAATTAGTGAGACGAAAAGCATTTGTGGATATGTTAAGGATTATAGGAGTGCTGATTTAAAAGTTAAATATTTTTTCTCGAGTTTTGTGGCTTTCCAAACTGCCTAGATATTTCATCTTCAAAGCGAGTAACAATGGAACATGGTGACAAATGACAAGCAAAACCACAATGTTGCTATTTTGCTACAAAATAGATGTTGTAGTAACTGTATATTGTTCTTCAACCCTGACATTTTCTGCAGAAACCATTTACTGATTGTTCTTCTCTAAACACTGGTAAAGGAAGGTTGCATGCTCTTGGGACAGAAAAGTTGTATAATTTGCATTTATGATTTGCAATAATAATTTAAGTCCTTCCTTATTGCATAACTTGGCCCGAGGAGATGGCAAGACTGTTTTTCCCAATCCAGATGTATCAGAAGGGCTCAGTATTTTGCACTTTCATACTGCATGCACCTTCCCTGCAATTTGTTACTGTTAGTAATAAACAAAACTCATGATGATAAGAAAATTTCTTAGGTCGATACAAACCTGAAAAGCAAAACAAATAATGGGAACTGAAGAAAATGTGGTTGTCCAAGGCAGCTCAATCCTAAGATGTGACAACAAAATTAAAATCTTGTCACTAACAATATATTCTTTCTAACAAAGAGGTATAAATTACAATTGTGATGTGATGTTATTTCACTAAGAAAGTTCAAGAGAATGTCCAGAATATATGTCCATCTCACAATGTAGTCTCCTAGTTTGACCATTTTGTGACAAAGCAAATATGACTGGAAAAGACAGAAAACAGACCAATAGCATATGCCTATACTGGATCAAAAAGGGAACAATCACTAAAACATGTTCATAGCATGGCATGTCATTCATCTTCCCACTTCCTGCACTGACCATAAGGCCATTGTATGATTCTTCCCTAATAACCCTTTAACACCTAAGAGTGACAAGGTTCTAATTTCTCTTTACAATCTATCCTTTGAATCAAATGTTTAAATCACAAGAACAAAGGAAATGATCAGCAACTGACAAAACTTTGATGGTTTTACAAATTCTCCTTAGTAGAACATAGGAAATGTAAAGAGAACTGTATGGAGAGTATGCATAATGATGTTAGGGTGTAAAGAGTGAATTACTGTAATTACTGCACTTACTCTTCAAATTCCTTTCTATCGCTGTGATGTCCTTCAAAGTATTTTATGGCAGTTACCATGCTAACAAAAAATGCCCCAAATGTTCCACAAAAACTAAAAATGAACAATGTATATCGATATTAAAATTAAGAAGAAAATGGGGACATCTGCAGGTGAGAAGGACAAAGAATCCAAAGGGCTCCTGCATAAATGTAAGCTAAAAATTATAATGACACTGTGTTAAGTTCCAGATGACAAAAATCACAATGATATAGGTTCATGTTGATAGCACCCAACATGATAATTTCTTAAAAGATCATGGTTTTTATAATCAAAGGAACACACCTGGAATAGCTGAGGACCTTCAGTGTCTTTGGTAGGCAAAGAGGCAAGAGAAAGACAAGGCTTGTGACACCAGTAAGAAATTTCCGTTGTAAATACCAGCCAGGAGTAGAGTCAATAGCCTCTCCAACTGAAATAAATGTATGATCAACTCTCTGAGTACCTACACTATAATGTGTGGCTAATTCCCATATGGATTTCCCGGGGAAAATGAATGTTGTGTGCCATTACAACTTTCTTTCAGAGTGAAGAGAGTTTGAATGAATGCCCTATATTTTGTTGTACTTAGTGTTTCAACTGAAAGGGAAAAAGTTTTGATTACAAAGGACATAGAGGCACTCGATCAGAAAGCAGCTGTTCACACTTTGGGGTGTGCTTCAAATGAAAAACTCTTTACATTTCAAAAAGAACTATTTACTAGAGTTTTTACCATCAAGTTAAACACTATTACAACCATTCTTATTTTACCATTACCTGAATAAATGGAAAGATAATTCGATAGCCTGTGAAAATGTGACCTTGAGATTGTATTTTGCTATTACTACAAACAACTTTAATAGACTCTGAACGTGTATTCTTCAATTCTTATTTTGTACTCAAACATTGGGCTCAGGGAACCACAGGTATATTATAACTGAGTAACTTGGGCTAAAACTCTCTCTAGAAAGAACAGAAAGGATCTTTAGAACTATGATCATAACAATAGCATGACAGGAAATTAATTTAAAAAAACACATACAAAAAAGAGAAGGCAGTGATTAGGGTGCTAGACTTGTGATCAGGTTGTCCCAAGTTCAAGTCCTCTGGTCCCTGCTGCTCACTGGATTTGTTGTTAGTTGCCTGATATTAACTCCTTGGCTGCTGTTTGTTAATTTAGAGCCAACTGATCTGCTTCCGCACAGTTTGGATTTTTTAACTCTTTGTTTATTTAAAATATTTATTCAATATATTTTTTTAATGGCCAGTTAAAAGCTCTGTTGGGGGAGTGGTCAATCAATGTTTCAATCATTATTACTTTTGAAATTAAATTTACCGGTACTCACCTTTCTCCAGTTGATCACCAATCAAAATCATATACGCCACAGTGCAACCAAACATATACAACGTTATTACAATCTCTGTTGCAACACATGCCCTCGGTCCCAAGACTGCTCCGATTATCTCTTGGAAATTATGTGAGCCATGGTTTTCAGCGCAGTATGCTAGGATCAGGAATGCTCCCGTAATGAACACCAGTAAGCACTGTAAAAGAGCAACCCCCGTGATTATGCGACAACGCTGCTACTTCAATGTCTGATGAAATTTACTAAGTAAAGTGAAATCATCTTGCAAGCTTTAATGTAGCCCTAAAATTCATTATTGATGGATTACAAACTTTTCAATCGGTTTTTATATGAATCAGTCAATCATTTACCCCAAAGAGTGACTATAGCATCCTTACGACTTCACCACTTTACGGTCGCAATTAAATAGGAAATAATTACTAACTCAAGGAGCTTTTGATTGATACGCAAATTGTCCGTGTCAGCACCATACGAAATGGTGAAAAATTTACAGAATATGCATACCAATGTTAGTGTGTAAAATTAAGGGGGCATTGGGATTTTCGGTTTTGCGCTCACTTTTGCCATCGGTTTGCGGCTTTTGTGCCTATGCACTCCGGTTTTTCGGCTTTGGTGTTCGTTTCAGTTTGCGGATTTTCCGTTTTTCAGCATTTGATTTTCGGTTTTCATCAAAAATACTCAAGAGTTTTCGGATTTGGTATCTGATGTGGTTTCTCTTCGATCTGAGCGGCAAGTAAGCGTTAGTCGTGAAACGCAAAAGTTTTTGAGAGGAATGCGTGACAAACCAAGTCTCGACTAACGCTTGCAATGTGGAGCAATTAGTTGATCATATTTCGAACTATTAGCCTGTCTCACGTGCCGGCAACGGTAGAAGCTCAAGGACCTCAAGAAACACTGTATTACTTCAAAAGAGGGAAAAAGCGGCGGTAATTTCACGCGTTCGGTTTCGGTCGAATTGTTTTGCGAATTTTTGCGGTTTTTTAAATAGACCCTCGTAACAGTGATGAATGTGATGAGGATCAAGTGACCCTAAAAGCAGGATCGATGAAATGGCGGAAGGGCGAAAAATTACCCTAAATCCTAAAAAAAGGACGGCGGAAAATTACCCCAGATCCTAAAAAACGGAATGGTGGAAAATTACCCTACATCCTAAAAGATGGAATGGCGGAAAATTACCCCAAGTCCTGAGAGACAGAACGGCGGAGAATCACCCTAAATCCGTAACACTTCACGCCCAGACATCAGTTTTTATATTCTCCATACTGTTCTCTGTACATTTACTACGATGCTGACAAGGAGAATTTGTCTAACAATCAAGATTTTCTTTAGTTGATAGTCATTTCCTCAGTATATTCTCATGACATTAATGAGTGATTCAGTGGTGATATTGTAACAAGAAATTAGATGCTAGTCACTTTGAAGACGGAATGGTAGCACACACATCCCGCTCAATACTGTATTTTCCTTTGCTACATCACTGCGGGGTTCTGGTCGTGTACGTGAATGAGATGAAATGTTTCCTCACCCTTTTTCCCCTCCTGATCACAACTTCCGCGGAAATTTAATCAATACCCAAAAAATCATCTTTGCTCGTAATGTGTAACATTGTGTTGTTGGCTGTTCAGTTTGTTTGATGTGATTTTCTGTGTTTGTCGAGGTGTTGGGTGGGTTGACAGGTCGACGCGAACTCTTGCTGTTTTCACGATTAGGTTATTTTTAACTGACCTTTAGACCTTTGCCCTAATGAGCATGTCCTTTTAAAAATGATTTCCCCATTTTACATGAAACTATTGGAAGCCCTTTATAAATCTCCTGAGGCTTAGAATGCTTCGCATTTGTCAGTTGCTCAATAAAATCTTTTTTAAGGCTGGTTGCTGATGGGTTATATTGTGAAACAAAAGGCAATGTGGTAAGTCACACTTTGTTTTTCTCCTGGAGTGATGTTTTCCTACCATTGAAATCAAACCCCATGAAGATTCTTTCAAACAGATAATTCGGATAGCCCCTTACTAGTAATCGCGACTTGGAGTGTCTCTTCAAAGCTTGTTTCTGATGTTGAGTTTTGTTCCATGTAAATGGCTCTGTAAAATCCGCGTATTTCTGTCGCCTGGTTGACATAGTACAAGTGGTTTGTTTACGGGTCTTATCCCCCGCCCATGGGAAAATACCATATGTATAGTTCCGTCGGTTAGGATTTGGGGTAATTTTCCGCCATTCCATCATTCCACCGTTCCGGCCTTTAGGGTCACCAAGTGAAAATTTTATTATTCTGTTCAGTCATCTTCTTGCCTGTTTGGTGTATAATAGGTTTATTTTTATGAAATTTCGGATGATAAGCCGAAGTGAGAATTTCAATTTTTTAAGTCCGAGTTATTCTACGTCAAGTTGATTCCCAACCCCTTAACTTTCGTTATTTTGGCCCAATATTGTTGACGCAATCAAAAAATGTTTGACAAGAAGAAAAAATTACAGTTTGTTATTTCCTACTCTGACTTCCTTCAAATTGCATCGTTATAGAACGCTCTGGTGAAAATGGGGAGAAAAAAATTGCATTTTTAAGTACCGGTCACAGCAACCAGCAAAAATCCTAGTCATGGGCACTTAGCACGATAACTGATCTTGGTCAATTGCTGCGATCGTGGTTAAAATTGCTCAGCGTTGTTTTCATTTCTATATAATATAACACGCACCATATGAATAATCAGCGCGGTGAAAATGCCTCCAGCTTGTGCATAGGCTTGAGGAAAATTCAAAATTCCAGCACCAAGGGCAGAATTTACCACCAGAAGAGTTGCTCTCCAAATGGGTATTCCCTTGCTGAAATGACCCGATCCATCCGATCGTTGGATAACTGTGCAAGAGGCAGAAATAGTGTCTCTATCACCATTTGCGACAGGCTTGCCGATTACATTGTCTCTACTACTATTGTAGTGAATGACTGTGCATTCATGATGACCATTCGGCACGCCGTTCTTCTCTAAGAGGGCTTGTTTTTCTAATAAATTAAGGCTGTGGTTCATGTTCTCTGGAGCTCGAAATTTCTGAAGACTTCCAATGAAAAAAGGGAATACTTCGATTTCGTCGGAGTTTTTCACTTTGTCTATAACGAATTTGTCAACAATGGTTTTTATGCCAAAGAAATCTGCACGTGAATTTCCAATGAAACCGGTGTCCCGTGGTTAGGATCAAAGTTTACAAACATCACGAAATTTACTTAAGCCTGCTTTAAGATATGCTCTCAAGTAAAGGCAAAAAAAAAAGAATTTACCTCTATTTGATCCACCAGGAAAAAAAAATCCGCAGAGTGAATGAAAGCGATATTTTGGCTAAATCAGCGCGCATAGGTAGTTAAAGAATACAAAGACCAATTGATACATCTATATCTCGCGCCTCTTCAAGTTCAAACAGATATTTATGACTTCGGTACCGTGACATTTGACGAGACTCTTTGATTACATTTATTGGAGTTTATCGCTGGATCCTGAGACTTGGTCGTGACTTGCGCATGACTTGCAACGCGTGGTTTGCTTTGCTGTGTTTTTCGTCGAGTAGACTTGTGCCGCACCCGCCTTACCGAATAACGGGAAAAATATGCTTGAATTAAAAAAGAATAGATGAAATACCGCCCGTTCTATAGGCAAGTTCTGTTCAACAGGGCAAAGTAATGGTTCGCGTGCGCGTTCTTTACAGACTCGACAATCTGGTGGAAGCAACGCACAGCTGTTTCCCAGTCGTGTACCACAGAATGCGAATAAATAAAATGTATCTGTCCAAAGCCCTCGATGGCGATATCTTTGAGCTCTTCATTGACGTAGGCAATTTTCTCTTTTAAGCGTCTGGGGAAAATGGCATCAACTCACCTTCATGTCTATGATATTTACACTTCCGTTTTGCATTTACATCAAGGACCAGTATAAATAAAGCTTTTATCCCTGGAAAATTTTAATGTTCAACCTCTGTCGATTTGCCAGTAACGCATGAGAGAGTGACTCTCTCATGCGTTACTGGCTCATTATTATTTTCACTCAAGACTGGAAGGAGGTAACCATCATATCTTGCTTCCATACAAAGGAAAAGCCACGAGATACACTAAACTCCCTGGCAACGAGCCGAGCAACTGAAAATAATAAGAACGTGACCAAAACAATTTGTCACTGTCGGCTTTCCCATGCAGCCACATGCTATGCCTCTTGCTATTGCTTACACTGGGAACGATGCCAAATTTGACACTTAGCAATAAGAACTCAATCCGTAAACAGCCCCACAAAGCAGCAGGAGAGACTAAACTAACCTGTCCCAGGCCTGAACCTGTCCCATGCGTTAAGTCTCGTTTAGATAGTAAAACGAAGAGCAATGTCAAATGACTCGATATTATGGAGTCAAATCGGGGACAAAATTGGTATCCTTAGTTCGTGTTGTCGGGTCATACTTCGTGACGTTAAAGTTCTCGTTTTCTGTCCTGGTATCCTTTGATCGTGTCGTCGAGCCATTCGTTCGTGTCGTCGAGTCATACTTGGTAGAGCTATAGTCCTCATTTCCAAACCCCCTCGTCATGTCGTCGGATGGTGAAACAGGTAAGTGTAACCATGGAAAAGGCCTCTCCAAAACCTTTCTATTACTTGCTGATTGTGACGGCCACCCTGTGGATGTGTGAGAACATGAACCATGCCACATCAACAGTGCCAGGTCTCCCCTCACCCTTGAAGGAAGACCAATGCCTGAAACAGCTTTCAAAAACAATGCAAGAACTGTACATCCCTTGTTGTTATTATTGCACTTTTAAAAACATTGTTCTTCGAGAAGATCAATCAACACAGCCACGGATGACAAACCCCCACCCAACTAATTTGTGGTTTCCATCCAACTGCCTGGGTGCTAATGGGCCCTGGACAAAGTAGTGTCGACGATTGACAGTGTTGAGTTGGATTGTTCGTAACAAAACACTAACAGGGTCCGTTCCAAGCAGTGAGGGGCCTCGAGAAAGAATCCTTTCATTCTGCGAATGCCGAAGTTTGGAAAATTTTGCAAGGTTTTCTTTACAAGGTCATCAGAACAGTCTTCAGAAAAAAAAAAAGTATACCTTGGTTCCTCCTTAAAAAGCTGAATTCGTCTACAGATTATTTTCCTGCTCGTGCCCAACATTGCGACATTTTTTTAAAATGAAAAACCGTAGCATAAGTACAGTTTCAAATCCCCTCGTGGTACCTCGAAGGCAAGTCTTCCTACTTCGCCAGAATGTACTAATGGCAAGGTTAAAGAACACTCAGCACTTTGTTTATTTCTATCTTTCAAATGCAGATAACTGTTTGCTTCTACCAAGAGGTCAAGAACGTCATCGAACACGCTCTCCTTTCTAAAGAAAGAGACGATATACCACGTGACGATTAAAAACGTGGTTACCACTGACCGTTACGACATGAATTATGTTTCAACGCCACAAAATGTGACGCGACTCGAATTTTTAGGAGGAAGCGACATGAGACACGCCACAAAGATAGCACGTGAATCAGAAAATTCATCCGGCAACATGACGAGGGAGGTTCAGAGGACAGGAAATGAGAACTTTCGCAGAAGTATGACTCAACGACACGAACAAATGACTCGACGGCACGAACAAGGGATACCAATTTTGTCCCCCATATGACCCATACGATACTGAAGGTAGCCGGGAGGGGAGTAAAAATGGGAGGGGTCGCACCCCGACCCAAGCCTCTCTCGTTTTTGCTCAGCCGCTACTATCGCAACGCTTACTTTTTCGCTTTTTTTGGGCCTGTTTACATGGAGTAGGGGCACCCCCAGAGGGTGAGGTAACCCGCCTAGGTGGGTTAACCCTCCTGTCTATATATATGTTTTATCTGGAGCACGTTAACTTGATATAGGTGGGGCAACTAGACAACCCGTCTGGACCTCGTACAGCAGGACAAAAAGTAGATGGCACATAAAAACAGAAATTTCGTTTTCTGCAGTACATCACGCGACTTTCGTAAAGCTAGTGGCTGGCGTCTTCGATGGCAAATTAATTCATTGGCCAGTTGATCCATTGTGGCTTTAGAAGCTACGAGAGATCTATAACGCTTTACTTTATGTCTCGTTATTCATTCGCATTCTATTTCCGTGAAGCCATCATTAATGTACTTTTTGGGTTCTTTTTGCAACTAGGGGTAGCCCACGTGTAGCCAGGCTCCCTCGCCTCCATTTCACCTTTGGGGGGGGGGGGGGGGGGGAAGAGGGTGCGGCTACACGTAGGCTGAACTGGGGGGCCTCTCTGCACTTGCGAAAAAGTTGTTTATTTGGACCAATTTTCTATCACCACCAACACACAATTGTTGATGATTTGTCGTGACTTAACAAATTTCATTAGCCGAAAAAAAGAAAAAAAAAACGGACAAATCTTCGAACGCACGGCCGACAAACTTTTGTTCCAGATAAAAACTGGACGAAATTGACTAGATAAACAAATGTGTGAACTTTTCTATCATTCTTAGCGTGCGAACTCAACATCACGTAGTTATGACGATGGAGCCTTCCATTCCATTCTTTATTTTATTTATCAAAAAAGAAGCAATTTTTGAATGAGGTCATGTTTATGATGATTGTCAGTTGCAGATTTTGAACCAATGCCATGTTAATAGCCTAAATTGTAATCCACAAGGTCTTCTTACTCTTCAAAATATCAGTTATAACAATTAATTAACAAACACAAATTGATTCCTGCTAAATGACAAACTAGCGAACTGGATTGTCTAAACCTGTACAGGGGCATAACCAGGATTTTTCAAAGGGGGAATCAGACTGAGTCAAACAGAGGGTACACACCAGATTGTCATGTTGACATCCGTGTCGTGTTTGACAAAAAAAGGCTTACAAGTTTACCATACTTTTTTTAACGCCAGTTTTCATGCTACCACTGCAGAAATCTGTCAAAGGCATCCTAGGCTCTACATTCTTTAATTATGATTAGGGTTTTGGTTCTTGCACATTAACAATGGATTATTCCTAGTTACCTCTTGTGAGTATCTAACTTAAACTACTATAGGCAGTAGTAACTTTGGAGACTTGAATTTAATTCATACTAATTTTATTAGTAATTGGACCTCATGTTATACAATTTGATTCAGATCACAATTGTGACAAATACATTTGTATTAAATTATAACATAACTATAAAACTCAGAATACCATGATACCTGAAATATCTCTGGAATGTTTTATGAGTTACAACCAATCACAGGATGGTATGTAAGTAATCCAAACAAAACTACATACAATACATTAATAAATATTAATGCTATCATGTACAATCAAGATTTTCTTGTATTTGATTGGCTTGTTTTCCTAAATGCAATTACATTCCATAAACATTTTCAGTGCTCACAGACTTCAGAGTTTCACAGTATATACAATATTATTTTTGAAAAAAAGAATTAGACGACAATTTTGATTTGAGTCTTTGACATGGCAGACCATAGTGGTTTGTCCAACATTTGCGCCTCTCATTGTTTGCAGCACTACTGTTTTAATGCCATGGGAAACTGACATCTGAGTCTGTCATTATAAACAGAATGATCAATACAAACTTCCTCCTTTTATGTCTTGCATTATGGCAAATACTTCAGAGTCTGCAAACAAGAACACTCCAACAACCACATACCAGAGACCCAGAAGAATCAATAATTTCCTTTTCATGGTAAGAACTGGATATTGTACCATCTCTTGAACAAGACAGATCCCTGAAAATAAAAAAAAAAAGTGATGTAGTATTTGTAAACCTGGCTCATTTTCACAAACGCAGGAACTTGAGGTCATCGAACCAAGGAATAGTGGTCACTTTTAAGTGCCATGATGGGATACGATAAGTGACTTGGTGTAGAACATGCCATTTGTTGCAAAAGATACAAACTAGTTGTCTAAGTTTCAACTGATAATATTTTCAGTGCACAATTAACATAAATCAGGGCTGAAAGAGCCTTTTTCCATAGTTGCCACTTAGCAAACCAAAATGTGGAATAGTAGCCAGAAATCCAATTCTGGTCAACCGAAAAAAAAAAAAATTAAATAAAAAAAAAATATATATATATATATTCTTCCAGCAGTATTCAATGACAACTAAACCATATAAATAATTTTAAAGTAAACAGCATGTCTCGTATTTGTTTATAGAAATATAACTAAATATAAAGAGGCAAAGTTTCACAGAAGAAAGCAACAAAACATGAGAAATAATCCACTAAAACTTTCCTCTCTCTCTAATGTCAGCCCATAAAAAGTAAGCAGCCAAAAATAGACACATTCAGGGTGTAAAATTGTGCTTAATACAGGCGCCAATGTGACTCAATTTTTTACTTTGGCGACCAAATCCTGAAAATTAGTCACCAAATTGGCAACTAGAATGCTTCATCATAACCTAAGTACCTAGAGATACAGTGAATTAAAAAGATTTGCAGAGATAAATCTGTGGCAAACTTCCTTGTTAAGTTTGTTTCAAAAACACAGCACATGCATCTCGATTGATAACTAGACACCATCTTGGATTTAGGTGAGCTTGAATGTTGTATATCATCCAACCTAGTTTCCACTTTGTTGCATGTTAAAGATCTTTTTCCTAGCTTAATATCAGAGGGTCTATCAAGAACGCTGACAGGGTAAAAAAAGGGTTTAGTTTGTCTATAAAAATGGTTAACAACAGCTTTTGAATTGGCCACCACTTTGGAAAATTCAGGAGCTGAGAGGCTCTCAGAAGAAAAAAATTAATTTCATGTCCTGACATTGCAACAAAACTGTTGAGCACAGATTGCCAGATTGGCCATGCCCTGCAAATTTAGTCGTCAAAATGTTGTAGGACACCATGGTGACCAAATCATTGCAACTTATGAGGGTTTGCTTACCTGGGTAAAAGAAAATGAACAGTGCAGCCAGTCCCCCAATAAGTGCAATTGCTTTTTGTATGTCTTTCACATAAACAGCAATAATAAGGGCTGACCCAAACCACACTAATGTTTGTATGATTCTTCGCCGTTTTTCATATATTTCAGCAAGAGTTGGAGGCATTCTGAAGGCTGCCAAATACAATCCCTCCAAACAGCTCCTGTAAGTAACAAATTTGACTGACATCAATTTTGTTGAATCTGTACTTTACAAATACTATACCTCTTTGAGTAAGTGCCTAGGGGCTTACTTAAAATTTTGGCTAAAAGGAGGAGCAGTTATCAGAAGAAGGCTGCTTAATTGAGGGGGCGCTTATCATTCTCCTGTACTGATTCTGCTGTGGTTGAAGTTCAAACTGCTAGAAATAAAGTAGCACTATAAAAAGGTTTTCCTTGCATCTCTATTATTTAAGAAAGTTAGGGAGAGAGGGGGAGGGGGAGGGGGAGGCACTTACTCTTGATTTACATTATTGACAAGATTATTGACATTATTACCTTGATTGACATTATTAACAAGAGGGAGAGGGAGGTATTTACTCTAAAGCAAACCTTGTTTAACATTATTGACAGGAGGGAGGGGGAGGCACCTGCTCCAGAGGGAACCTTGTTTAACATTATGATCTAGGAGGTAGGTGCTTATTTGAAGAAGGGTGATTGTTAGAGCTTGGGCACTTAACCCTTTAACTCCCATTGTTAATTCTCCCCTGTGGCTGCTGCACATTTCCTTGTAAATTAGCTATGAGAACTTGGTGTGAGATCAAGATAGCAGCTTCTACCTGATAAGTTTGAATATTCTCATGACCTGTTTGCAGAAGAACGTATGGATATTGTAGGGAGAAGTTTTATGTTAATCACTTCTGGGAGTTAAAGGGTTAATCAAGGAAATAAGGTATCTCTATTATTATGATGCATTAAAAAATTCTCAGGTTTTAACTTTTTCAGAATGTCTTTTAATCCAAAAATAAGAACATCTAAAAAATTTTTTTTAATTATCATTTTCAAATAATTATGAAATTACTATAAACTTAGGAATTTAGTATCTCACCTTCCACAAAAAACAACAAATGCCCCTGTTGATAAAACTATGAGGCATATTGTTACCCTTGAAATATTCACCAAAATGTCATTAGAAGGGTAACTTAAAAGAACATCACTTTTAACTGATGTGCCAAATGTTAAGTAGCCAAATGATGCCGTAATGGTATAGGCTGTAGTACAAATTGCCATTGCTATGACAACAACAATGCCAAATCTGGGTACACTTGCTCTTTTTAGTTCTGCATAGACAGCCACTGAAGGGACATGACACTGAAACACAGAAAAGACCAAGTTAGCAAAAAGCTTTTTGTGTGGTGAATACTACAACCAAATTATGTAATATCAAGCAAAGATTAGTTACTCTTTCTTTCTCTGTTTCTTTTAGGTCATGATAATTGGACAGAGTTTAGCTATTGTGTTCCAAAGAGAATTTCTAATGTCCCTAATCATTTTGTCCATTGAACAACATTTAGTATCTTTCCTAAGGTATTGTGTGATTTAAATGTTTGGAGGACATCTTGCTCCTTCTCAGATTTTTCATACAATTATTTCAATAAGATTGTGATGCACAAATTTCCTTAAATAAAATTCCCATAAACAATCAATGTATATTTGAATATGTATATACACCAAATCAAAAATAAAAATGATACACACCTGAAAACCAAAGCAAATTATTGGAATAGCAGCAAAAGCCTGAGTCCAATTCCAAGATTCCTCAATCCTAAGGAATGAAAACAGAATTGTACACTTAGCCACTATAGGAAAGGTGCATGCCAAGATTGTATACATCATCAATCCAACTGTTAAAATAATCAGAGCAATTTTTAAATCAACTATTGAAAATCCAAAACTAACTAATCATAACAAAGGTTTACATTATCATTAACCAATGAGCAATTAACCCTTTAATTCCCATAAGTGACCAAGACAGAATTTTTCCTTACAATATCAATACAATATCAACTAGATAAGTGATGAGAATAAAGAAAAGATCAATTTGGTGATAATTAGTTGATTCAATACTAAATTCTCTGAACTAACATTATAAGAATTGTATTGTTGATGGTAAGAAGAATTACAAATTTGATCTGGGAGTTGAGGGGTTAAATTAAAACAGGCAAACCTTAAAAAAATGCAGGAGAATCTGAGCATTCATTTTACATCTGATTGGTTATAGGGATGGACAGTGTTTTGTAGACCAATCACAGGCTAAATCACATTAATGAAAAAAAGACAAAAAATTCTTGGTTTACTTTTGACATGCAATTGAGAATTGCTCTTCTTAGGGGTACTTACTCTTCATAGTCTTTACTATCAATGTGATGCCCATCAAAGTATTTTATTGCAGTTACTATGCAAACAAAAAGCGCCCCAACTGTTCCAAGAGCACTGAAAATAATTTATCAACAGGTCAGTAAAAAATGTGAACAAATAATACCACTGAATCATACTACACATTGTAAGCTCACAACTGATTGAAAGCAAACTTGCTAAGTTCAAGTGAAGCTCTAGAGCATTTTGACAATTTGTCAATATTACTTTAATTTAAAGGAGCAAAAAAAGTATAGTCTCATGCCTTAAAACTATTGCTTCACAGAAGAATTTGAGTTGATAGGAAAATCATGAAAAATGTGAAAGGGAAAGATGCAAAAAAAATTCTGGTCATGGACCTGGAGAGTGATTTATCCCTCAGATAGCATTATCCACCCTTAGAACAAATGAGTCATGATTGTTATAGTCAACGCACCTTGAATAACTAAGAACTTTCAAAGTTTTTGGAAGACACAGTGGTAAGAGAAAGAGAATGCACATCGCACACATGAGAAATTCGCGACTTAAATACCAGCCAGGAGTAGAGTCAATAGCTTCTCCAACTATAAACATAAAATAGAAAGTGTACCATTAAGCTCTATAGTGCATGCTCTATCCTGCATGCTGTACATTAAATAAAAGGGGTTTTGTCCTGAGAAAAACTCAACTTCTGTAAGAATTGATTAAAGTACACATACATATTTTCGGGTAGATATATAGAATATCTGTATTGGGTATGTTTGACACTAAAGTGGGAAAACTTGTGTGAAGGCTCTCCTTTACTGCATGTTGTACAGTAAGTTTGGGGTCTCCATAGAAACCTTTTTTAAATCTATGGTGCCAATAAAAGTTGCTTTTGGTAGGCTAGGATTTTGACCAAATCTTGTAAGGTCCAGAGAACCAACATCTCAACACAATGCATTAACTGTTTTTAGCCTGGTGTCCATGTCTCCCACAACAAAAACATCTAGTAAAAAAAGTGTGCACTTCTGCCCAGAGTTATGATCAGATCACCGAACAATTTTGTTAGAAGTCTAGTGAGAGGATAAAAAACCATACTTAAGGTCATGATAACCATAAAAAAAGGAAATTGATTATAATTCGGAAGTGTCACATATCACTTTACTTGCCTTTCTCCAGTTGATCACCAATCAAAATCATATATGCCACAGTAGAACCATACATGTATAACATAATGACTATCTGTGTTAAAATGTATGCCCCTGGACCAAGTACTTCACGGATTATCTCTTGAAAATTCTGAGAGCCATGATTTTCGGCACAATATGCTAGGATCAGGAATGCTCCAGTAATAAACACCAATAAAGACTGTGAAAGATGAAAAAATAAATGTTGTATTACAAAAATTCTGGTTCACCATTAATTAGAAATTTACAAACTGAAAGGAAATTGTGCAGCTTGGCTCTTAAGAGTAACTAGCATCTAATTTCTCTTTTAATATCAACCATGAATCACATTTTAAGATAATGAGAATATAAGGAAATGATCACCAACTGAAGAAACTCTTGATTGTTTAACAAATTCTCCCTGCCAGCACCTTAGGAAATATATAGAGAACAGTATGGAGAATATATATACTAATGTTAGGGAGTAAAGGGTTAACAAAAGTCCACAGGGCATTTACTTGTCATCTTATTCTGACCTTGGTATAACTAAAACTAGCTGCGAGGGCCGGCTACCGCAACAACAGTGATAATATGGGAAGATGTTGTGTGTCACGTCACTTAAATGGAAATTAGCAAAAATTTGAGTTTCACACAGGAATAGAACCCTAAGCCATCAGATCCTACCCTCTGAGTTACAAAGAACCTTCATGTTGGGCTAGGTCAATTTTGGGTTCATATGTAAAACACACACTGGATCAGCACTTTAGAAAGCACTGTTTGCAGCAATACTATAGGGAAGATGATAACTTTTGAGCTTAATTACCTTGGAAAAAAATCGTGTAGGACGAAGGAAAAATATATTTCCCTTCGAGAAATAAATCAGAGATAATCTTCTCAGTAGAGGGGTGTTTCAATCTAATAAGAAAATGATAGCATGCTGATTTGTTACAAATAACCCGATAAAATTTCCGCACAGCCCCATACTATTGTAAAACAAAATTGTTTTCCCAATGGCGAAGTATTGTTTTTGTCATTGTTTTTTCTTTTCAAGAAGTGAATGCATAATGTAGTATGGGGCTGTGCGGAAATTTAACCAATAACCCTGCACCAAGAAGGTCTAGTTCATGGGTCTTAATATGTGATTAAGTCGTTTCTTTTTCTTACTAATGACATAATACCCACCATTTGAGCAGTAAGAGCGGTGGTAATGCCTCCACATTGCGCATATGCTTGGGGAAAATTCAAAATTCCAGCACCAAGAGCTGAATTTACCACCAAAAGAGCTGCTCTCCAAATAGGTAAACCCTCCGCGTAATGATTCTCACCCGGTCGTTGGATCACTGAACGAGATTTAAACACACCAGCACTGGAGGTAGTGTCTAAATCACTTGTTGCACCTGGCTGATTAAGCATAGTTACTTCACTACCACTGTAGTATGGGCTTTCATAACGACTTCCTTGTAGGTTCCTTTTGTCAAGAAGGGCTTGTTGTTCCGACAAATCGAGGCTGTGGGTCATATTCTTTGGGCTCACGAATTCTTAGGACTCCTTATGAAAAGTGAATACCCTGCAATCAACGTTTCGTGTTCACTGGTAACTATTTTGGCTTCAGAATAGTAGTTTCTATATTTAACAAATCTGCACGTGAATCGACAATGAATCCAGTTCAGCCGGTAAATCTGATAAACCGGTCTCCCGCAGACTGGATCAAGATTTACGCAACCACCGAATTTCCTTCGCCGGTGGAGTAGAATTTTAGAGCTCTCGAGTTAATGAAGGATGTCAAACGCTTGCTCTCCCTAATAATGAATTATAAATAATGTTGAGTGTGGTCTACCGAAAAGTCGCACGATTGAAGTAGACCGGCAATTGGCGCAGTAAACTTCGTTAGAGAATGGAAGGGTGGTGATCAATTGTGCATATGACGTAATTTCCACATCAATTCTTGCGCCATTTTACGTTTCTTAGGCGAGAGAAATGGTGAAATAGTAACTTCGTTGCGGTGGAAGATGACAAGATCTAACGAAGAAGTGAGAAAGTTTTGCGATAGTATCCGTAGAGGAGGGATTGTCGACGAAATTAATCCCCTACCTTAAATCTCGTGATCTTGACCTTGAGAATTTCGGTGCCTCAATCCCGCGCCCTTTTCCCGCCAATCGGTAGGACCCGCAGGACTTTCTAACCCACGGATCCGTATGTTAATGCCATAGGTTTTTTCTATTAACTTTTGAAAGTTTTTTGGTCTTCTCTATCCAACTGTATAATCATTGAGGGTGATTTATACTGAAGACAAAGGTAGGCCCCTTCATACTATGACTTATGGATAGAGAGCCGGGAAACACTCTTACATGACGTGGTGAATACTATTTCCAGTACTAACCGAGATTCATCTAAGATGGCGGACGAAATTTGCGCAAAACGGATTAAGAAGTCTGATGGTGTTAACATGGTTACTTGTCAAGCCCCAGTCAATATTGCCATCATAAAATACTGTAAGTGAGATATAATTAATTTACAGATAGCTTTCAGATGCTGAAAAAAATTCTATACTTATTTCCTGTAAAACAAAAACGATAAAGACTGAAATGTGAAAAAACATTTTATGTTGCAGGGGGGAAAAGAAACGAACAGCTTATTCTACCTTTGAATTCTTCACTAAGTGTAACTCTTGATAAGAAAGAGGTAACGTAAATTTCGAATATTTTTGTTGTTTTTAAAAGTGGTCGGGTCACATAAACTGTCTATAACTGAAAACACCAGCATAAACGTCAATATCAAGCTTGTCCCCTTTCATAATATAGTGTGGTCAGCAAAAAAATTAACATGACCAAATTTTATAGTTTCTTTAGAAACATATGTGCTGTGTTGACAGGGATTTAAGAAAAAACCTTGTTGTTTTTCATCGAGGAGTTAATATGAAAGATAAACTGCAGTTGCCAAGTTTGAAAAGTTGATGTTTTGAGGAAGTGGAACAAGGCTAATGGTAGTAAGTCAGGTGTACATAACTAAACCGATGAGGGACTCACGACATGTACACCACAGCATTTATTAACCCATGCCAAAAGATATTTTCACCCCAGCACCTACACTAAGAATAAAATAGATAAACAATTTTGTACCAACAAGTTAAAGACCAAGATCAAGATGAAGATTAGTAATTGTAATCTGTGGTTTGTTCTTACTTTAGCTCCATTCTTCTACAACTGTTGCAGTTAGTGAGGATTTTTCTGAAGATTGTCTTTGGCTCAATGGAAGGTTTGGTAGCATATAATACCAGATGAGATTTGTATCAAGATTCGTTGTCTAGGAATTTTAAAACATCCTATTACCAGTAAGACTCTGATATTCTTACACAAGGAATATTGAGTTTTATTGATATTGAGTTAAATTTTCATTTTTTATTTTTATTTTGGGGTATTAGATGCCAAGCTTTACTACATGTAAGTCTTCCACCATGATAAACAAAATTTTTTAATACATTTATACAGCGGTTTTGAAACTCAAGGCCACATTCCAAAAATGTACCCTAAATATAGTATTATTGTACAATGAGAAAAAGGAGATCAAGATGAATTATAATTTCCAGGGCACATGCATGTAACTCACTTTTTCCCTCTTATTCAGGAAGCATAACATTGCTGAAATGCCACGGATTCAAAAGTGTCTAGCAACAAGTGAGTTCTGGTTTGATTTAGTCACCATTGGAATTTTTTTTATATGCAATCAAGTGAATGGATTTATTATCCAATTATGACAACTATCTATTTTATTTACGTTGTAATACATTTTGAAAATTGGAAGTTTTAGAATTAATCTACTCTTTTCTTAGAAGAAATTTTAGTCATATCTGTTCAGTCTCAAATGGAGGATGTCTTGATCAACATTGCTATAAAAGTCACATCATTTTCTTTTTCAGTGAGGAAGCTGTCACACAATGAGTCTCTTAAGGACTGCTGTATTCACATTTGCTCACAGAACAACTTCCCTACTGCTGCAGGCCTGGCTTCATCTGCTGCTGGATATTCCTGCCTAGGTAGAAAAAGAGGAATCCTTCATGTAAATTTACACACACAAAGGTTTGATCTTTTGAGACAGGAGACTTATTATACTCTTGAGTTTAGGAAGGCACAGTGAGATGAAAAGGTTATGCACAATGATCCTACAAGGGCTCAAACTTTGACCTCCTGATGTTGATTTCAGTGTTAAAACCATTAACTCTTGACACCCTGGCATCAGTATACATATTCTCCATACTGTTCTCTATACATTTTCAAGGGTGCTGACAAGGAGAACTTGTTTCACACCAAGAGTTTTTTCAGTTGGTGATAATTTCCTTTATTCTTTTGACCTTAATGTGTGAGTCAGGGATGGGGTATGGAGAAATTAGATGCACATCACTCTTAGGGGTTAAGAATTATGCTTATTTAATGTTAGCCTCCAGGTACTCTTTCAATTAGCAGAAAAATGAAGTTGATGTACTCTTACACACACACACACACACACACATTCAGACTTTCCAATTTTCACAAAAAGTTGTGTAGCTTTGAATGTCAGTATGTATACATTCCAATTTTATTATAGTGATGATAATTTTTGTACACAGTTTTTGCTCTGTCAAGATTACTTCAAGTCAAGGGTGATCTTTCAAGAATAGCAAGGTGGGATAACTGAACCTCCTCCACTAACAGAAAGAAACAACAATAATGATGTGTACTTTCATGAGTAGAAGAAGTCACCACCATAAACTTTACAAAGAATGGTTTTATTGAGAACTCAAGAAACGCCAAAAGACTGAAGGGCATGACATATTCTGATGGCTGATTTTTTTATTGCTTGTTTGTCTCCCTTTTTCGTTTTTATTGTGATGTTATAGGCAGGGGTCAGGAAGTGCTTGCCGCAGTATGTATGGAGGGTTTGTTGAGTGGGAAAAAGGTGATGCAGAGGATGGATCAGACAGCATTGCTAAACAGGTAATCATATAATTGTTTGTTTCTTACCCCTTGGTCCAAACAAAGAAATTTACAAAGAAATTTTCATAAGATATTGGTTTACAATAAGACATTGAAGAGATTAAAAAACATGCATTTAACAGTTTGAGAGAAATTGGAAAATGGTCTTACACAAAGGTAATTGGGGTTTTAGAAAAAAAACTTGCCATAAATGCGATATGTGCTTTTGTTGGTTTGCAAGCTTTTCATGATGTTCTTGTAGATAAGCCACCCCCCTGATTTGTTACCAAAATTTTGGGAAAAGAGTTGTGGCATATATTCTGGTGTTTGCAGTACATCGCAATTCAAAATTTTGAGTCACAGGTCATGATTTATTTTAGGTTTGTTTCAAAATTATTGCTCTCACATCCATTCCTTGTAGAAATCACATGTACTGATATACACAACAGGTTAAGCAAAAACATTTTGATAATTGCGTATTGAAACGCTGAAGAATAAGCACGAACTTCAGTATTTAAAGTTCCAGCAATATATAGAAAATCTTGTTTTTGTTTTTCAGATTGCTACTGAAGATCATTGGCCAGGTTTAAGGGTACTTATTCTGGTGGTAAGACCATTGACAGAGAGACAATTTCACAGTCCATTACGATAGTTGAAAATCAATGATACAATTCCCTAAACAAGGATTATTGATAACTAAGTACCTCATACGTATTGGCAAAACGAGCTGAACTGCACTTGAGGTCAGTCAACATCTTCAAGAACAAAATAAAATGGATCCGAGAATTTTTCGCGCTCTTTACAGATTTCAGACATTGCTTTTTGCCTCCACAGGAATTTTGGATCCTTAAGCGTCCTTCGTCTTCTTGTGCTATTTAAATATACACTTCAGCTTTTTGCCTTAAGATATCAGTCTTTGTTTGACACCAACCTGAGATGTTGAAGGAACGTAACTCATTCTTATTAGAGAGCAGAAAAAGAAGCTACTTGGCGCAACTGATATACATCCTTGTCTCACTTTTAGGTCAATGAACACAAAAAAGGCACAAGTAGTACTGATGGAATGAAAAGAAGTGTAGAAACCAGTGATTTACTTAAGGTACGCCCTGACAAGTTTTCACGCAACAGTTGGGGTATAGCAAACATTTGTGTAACGTTTGCCTTTCCAATTAACGGTGTACAGCAGTTAGAAAAGAGAATTCGCATAAAGGCCCCAATTCAACGAGGATCTCAACTTGGAGGTCGTATATGTCATTTTAGCCTCACGAAAGCCACAGTTTAGTACCACTGTGGTGGTTTTGCAACCATTTAACGTATACCAACACGTTTACACATTTTGGGCTCTTTACCAGTTTAGATCTGAGTTTTGTGTTCCTGAGAGAATGAAGATAATGAAGAAAGCAATCTCGGAGAGAGATTTTGAGACATTTGCAGAAACTACAATGAAGGTAATAGTTTTTGTTCTGATTGTTTAAATTCATTTTCGGTTATTCTTTGCTGTGTCACGCGATGGGAAAAGAGCTCTCATTACTACCTGAATAAAGGTGGTAAGTTTCTAAAGAAACTGTGGTGCTGCGTCGGTGGGAGAGTATAACAGGGTAATTAAGTATTATCAACTGAGTTGATAACGTAAATTGGCCACCGTAAAGAGTTAAAAAGCTGACATTTGAATCCAATCCAATCTCTCTGACGAGGGGCTAACGCTCGAAACGTCAGCTTTTAAACTCTTAATGGTGGCCAATTTACGTTATAAACTCTGTTGATAATGCCAAATTACTCTCTCTATCATCGTGGCGTTGCGGGACTTTTCCATTGCATGCTAAGAGAGAAACCTCCGCGGAATTCTGCGTTGAATGTGAACGTTTCAACATAGTTGGTTAATTAGCGCTCACATGTGGAATGTGTTCAGTCTATGAGAACGTTTCAAGGTATAATTTTGTTCTTGTGTAGGAAAGCAATCAGCTGCATGCAGTGTGCCAGGACACCTACCCTCCCATCGCACCACCATACATGAATCAGACCTCACACAGTATAGTTCAGCTGGTCACCCTGTACAACAACTTCTGTGGTCAACTTAAGGTAATAAAACTTTTGGTTAGCGTGTGATCAATTGCCCATTTTTGCATTCTACAAGTGTTGCTGCTTGAAACGTTTTTATGTTTTACTTGAAGGACTATTTAGGTCTCTTTGAATCCTACTGTGTAGAAAACTTAACCACACATCAGAGATTATAAGAATCGCCTTAGAACTCCTTTTGTGTTAACTTCAATCGAACTCACGCGGTGTGCCTTCTTCCGTGCGCGCAATATTTGCTCTTTTGTCCCCTTTTATCTGCATAGCAATTAGAATTGGCCAATCGTGTTTGCGGTGGGCGTGGCTCTAAATCTATCCCCAGAGTCTTTCACCACATTCTCAAACTGCCTCGTATCGAAATCCTTTGGTTTCAGACTAAAATAAAATAACTAGGCTGTTTAACTGGAAAACTTCAGATTGCATCTCTGAGCAGAAGCAGATACAAGGTCTGATTTAGTGAAACACGGATCAAACCACACCAGGTGCTATTGACGGACTCTGTTGTATTCTCCACGTCATTAGGTTGCCTACACATTTGATGCCGGACCCAACGCGTTCTTGTTTGTAATGGAAAACGATATTGCAGAAATTTCGTCGCTTATTAGACACTTCTTTCCTCCAGAAACCGACAGAGGGTAAGTAAACCAGATGAGTGACAGAGAAAACGATAAATTAGCCATCTGGAATAACAGTTCTGAGCTTGTTACGTCTTACTTTGCAAAGCGGAGCTTGGGAGTATTTCATTAGTGATTTTTCTGTTCGCACTCTCTCTCCATTTGAGTACTAACCTCAGCCCCAGGTGTTTCTCGGTCCAATTGTTTTTCCAAGATGGCGGTTGATTTTTAAGGTTGAGAGGTATTTTTATCTTGAAAACTGACCGAGAGCTTTGGAACGAGGCTGACGAGTTGCTTGTCCATCAACGTTACTCTTAGGCGTATTTGTCCGGTGTCCTTGCAACACATTTTTCGCGCTGCCCTGGCGAGGAGATTCTTTTTGAAAAAAAAGTGCCTTCACGAGTTGCACACCAAGGTTTTTCCAACCAGGGAATACTTAATCCGCCGCACCCCACTAAGGTCTGTGGATTTCCAACTGATGCTGCGAAGTTTGGCGCTTCGTGGAACACGCGTAGTTGCAGTTTGGTCGCCCTGTTCTCACAGTGTTTGGTTTTCAACCTTTGCGTGCGTTTTCTAACATCTATTTTTCCATTTATAGATTTATTCAAGGAATGGAAGTAAAATCTCAAACTGATTTAAACAAGGTGTGATGTATTTGTCGTGTGAAGGGTAGCACAGAGATTACATGCTCCTGATATCACAAACTCCCACTTAAGGTAAACAACCCTCGAGTTTTAATCCAGGGTTAAGCTCACAAATTTTTTTTTCGGTTTGCAGAATCTTTTGAAGTCGATTACTATTGAACCATCTCCAGGAGCTGTAAAGTACGTTATTTCAACAAAGGTGAGCATGTAATCCTTTGTTCTTCATCTTTGACAAACTGAACCATTCTGATAGCACGGCGCGGCACACTCCTAGGAAGCCAAATTTTGCCTGTTGCTTTCTCATTTCTCTCCGCGTAAAGGCATTGGTTACAACTCCACGTTTTTTCATTAAAAACAGTATCTCGTCACAGATCAGCTATAAGCAATGTTTGGTGACAAACTTTCAATTTTAGTGAAAGCCCCGAACACAAGCGAATACAAAGGGAGAAATCGTGCTCTAAGTGCATAAGCATATGAACTCTCCCATGTCGCGAAAGTGTGTGTTTTGTAATTCAGTGTGATAGTAATGAATTATTATTATTTATTGATATTTCTCTCTTAGGTTGGCAGTGGCCCAAGTGAACTGGGCGAAGAACATAGCCTTCTTGATGAAAATGGGCTGCCCAAACCCTAACATAACAAGAACTGTCTTGCAGTACTGTCCACTAATGGCCTCTCTTATTTCCAAGAACTCCAACAAGATAGACGCTTTTGAGAGACTTTTTCTACGCCTGTAATGCTATTCCTTCGTTAGCTTGTCTGTAACTGAAAGTTAAAATCTATTTCTCCCGTGCTTGGTTCAAAACTGACATCATAACTCATACAAGAAGTATTTTCATTTGCAAGAGTTAAATCGTGAATCTTAGTTGGCGACTTCACAAAGTATACTCCTTGCTTTGTGTGGCGAACCCAGTTTATTTTAGATATCTCTTCTGCACCATCTTTTTTCTGTAAGCAAAGAACAAATCGGTGGATCAATCATATATTTGAACGAATTCAACCAATTTTATCAAACATAGAAACTTTCCAGGGGTGTCGGAAGAATTCTGGATTTGCATTGATTTTGCTTTACAACGCTCTCTGATTGGCCTGAAAGTATCACGCCACTTTTTCAATTGGCCAGTCAGATGCAAAACTAGAGCCAAACATGGCTTGGCCACTCGAGTTTTCTGACGTTTGCGGTTAGATGTTTCTACTGTGAGTTCTCTTTTACTTTTTTTATGTTACCCTTTGTCGTAATCGGCTAATGTGATCACTTAGAATTTTTTGCTATGGCACACTCCATCAAAATCTCTTAACTCAAAAAAATGAAATGTTTCTTAAAAAATAAAGGAAATAATGATTTAGTCATATCTCACCTGTTGTAATCCTGTAGTAACGGTTAATTTATCAGTGAGGTGGAAGTCCATCCAGATTGCTACACCATGAAAAGTGCCAGGCCTAATAACAGAGACACATACCCTGAATAAAATTTACAACTGGGAAAGTATATAACTGTGTTACTGACTAAAAGAAGTCATCCTTCTTTCGTCAAATCAGCTCTCAGTCTCCGCATCGTGAAATTTTCCCTCTTTGTACCCACTTAAATAGAACGATGTTTTCATGTATCTTTTGTTTGTTTGTTTGTTTCTTTTTTCCATCAAAATGGTAAAAATCAGACAGTGCGTTGACTTTAACCCACCGTGAACTGTCTACCTTAATTCGTGTTTGATTTTAAACGTTGCTTATAGGAGTAACATTACACATGAATGAATAACAGCCATACTGAAGGGGCGTGAAACACAATTTGGTGCCCACAGATGTGGACAATATCGACCCTGTGTTCCCTTAGAGTGACTAGCATCTAATTTCTCCTTACAATATCACCCCTAAATCAAACTTTGAGGTCACAAGATTGAAGGAAATGATCACCAACTAAAGAAGCTCCTGATTGTTAACCAAATTCTCCTCGTCAGCTCCTTAATAAATGTATAGCGAACAATATGGAGAATAGGCATACTGATGTTAAAGGGGTAAGTTTCTAAAGAAACTGTGGTGCTGCGTCGGTGGGAGAGTATAGCAGGTAATTTAGTGTAAACAACTGGGTTGAAAACGTAAATTAGCCACCGTAAAGGGTAAAAAAGCTGACGTTTCGAGCGTTAGCCCTTCGTTAGCCCTATCGCTCTGACGAAGGGCTAACGCTCGAAACGTCAGCTTTTTTACCCTTATACTGATGTTAAGGTTTACAGGGTTAACAGAACTCCAAACTGGTAAATAACCGTAGCTGTTTAATAACCTCGTAAGTTTCGCTTCTCCTTTGCTTTCCATTTTCTGGCTTGGTATATTTGAAGTGAAGTCAAATTCCATTAGGGTGAATTCCTGAGTTAGAGGATGGCACGGATACTCCCACAAGTGATGAGGCTCCAGTGCTATCCCATCACTACTTTCACTGTTGATTTCTTCATTTGTAAGTTTTGATCCCTGAAAGACAACAATCGATAGTCGAACTGGCTCTGGTTAGCCTGCCCAACTGGCACTTGATCAAACAGAGCGCGAGCGATTTAGATAAGGGGAACGAGAATTCACGCGCGCACGAGAAAAGAATGTCTGTGACACGCACGTGTTTCTTGCGTGACATCTTGGATGACACGAGACTAGCGTGTTAAGATGCCACACGTGTAGCTTCTTAGAACTCGAGAAATGAGGTAAAATTATATACATTTCTGTTAACCGCAAGACTTAAGTTATCTGTGTTTCTGAAATGGCTCACTGCGATAATAAAATGAAAGGCAGTGAAGTTTCAGTTCCTTTTCTCTTCGCTCAGGATGTGATTTCGCACATGGAGATATCAATTTCTCCCTTTGATGCATTGAATATTTCAAATGGCAATCTAACTTATGACTTAATGCGTATGCAAAAGTTTATTAAGTCTATTTTACCTCTATTAGTTCGTCAAACAGTGAGATATCAAATCCTTCCACGATATTCACAGGGGCATGGAATTTCCAAAGGTCATCAAACTCCACTAAAAAAGTTAAAAAAGAATTCTCAGTGAACCGATTATATAATGTAGGTAATCTTCTCTACAAAACAAAAATCTAAAATGCTTTGGTGAGTGTCTAGTTACATGCCGCGGAAAGAGAAACTAAAACGAAACCGTGTAAAAACTACGAGTATAGAACAACCGACGCATCCACCTCAAACCTCTTGTACTCTTCCCTGACAACTCTTTGTGGATTGTTTCGATTTAACCACAAAAGAGAAATAAATTTTGGGCTGGTTACAGTATGTGCAAGCACTTATTCAGTGACTAACCTTACCTCACACAAACAAATGAAACAAGAGGATTGAATGAAACATACGAGACTTAAAACTTTTGCCAATATCTTTTGGTAATTTCCATTAACCCACCTGCTATTGCCTTCAAGGTTGCACCCTTAGGTAATATCTTGACTGCTGGTTTGCTTACTCTAGCGGCACTGGCTGCCGCGTACCAGAAATATAGATTGTGCCACGGAAACAGGCAACTTGTAAAAAACGGCTCACCTATAATAACATCAACCTGAAAAGAGTATACACAGACATCAAAAGGATTCTTGTAAACTGCTACCACAGCACGGAATAATTATTGTAGACATCTACAACAAATCATTAATATCTTGCCACTGGCTATAAAAATGATTTTATGGTGTGGCTTTCTCCGCGAGTAGGCAAGATGAAATGATTCATGTGTTCTAAATGTCTACCCGCTCGCCCGCTTTGAGATTCCGTAGGAAAAAGTAAAAATTGTGACCAGTTTAATTATTCCATCATTTCCTGTTGTAAAAAAATGTTTTCACAGTAGTAGGATCACAAAAAATATTTTGAAGTCGATAAACTCAATGAAGGCCGCAGCGAGTTTCAGGAATTTCTTTCTATAGTTTTGTCTTTTTGCCAATACTAAATCCTTTTGATTAATCTCGCTCGCTCAAATTGGCCAGACGCTGTCTAACTTTTCATTCATTCGTTCATATTTTTTTGGCGCAAAAAAAAAAAGAAATTGCCAGCTTCCAAACTACTTGAATAAACTAGACGCATGTAATGTGCGTGCATGTACTCATGCACTCGCATTGGTAAAATCTAAGCTCAGTCTTGATACAGTATTCACACTTCTCTCACGTGAACCTCGCATTGTGAAAGTCATGTGAAAACCATTTGAGAAGCATGTGCAAAATGTCATCCCTTTAAAAGAATGTTATCACATGCTTTTCAACTAGTTCTTGAAGCCTACACGTGAGAAACTCGGACTTACTCAGGCGCTCATAAGCCTCTACGACGATTTGTAATAACTGACCGCGCTTGACCCGAATTTTTAAGCCGAGCTCTCTACGGAGAGCGTCTGAGTAACAAGCTGGATCAATATCTCGAAGGACTTTGTGAGATCCTGATAGTAAAATAATGCGTCGTCTTTTTTTTTAAGTTTTCTTTTCTTTAACAAATTCCGCAATTTTTCTCACGTGTTTTTGCTGGCTTTTTCAGTCTTTTTCTCTGCCTAAGAACCCAGTAGGGGCTATACAACTGTCAGTATGTAAATGTTGAATCACTGGCACTTAAACCCGGCTTTTGGATGAAAAGCTAAAACACTTCAACGGTTAAACAAATACATTTACGCCCACGACAGGAAAAAACAATTACCATTTAATATGATTTTTTTTCTTGTCTGTGCATGACACGTGATCATATTTATTTCAATTTACCTGGACAGTTGATAAGTCCCTAATCTGCAGATCTGACTCTTCTTGACTAAGAATCTCTATTTTGTCAGCTATTCCATTTAAATCCATAATCTGACAAAGAAAGAAAACGAGATGGTGAAAGGGTGTAACGATTCAGTGACACGCCATTGGGGAGAAATAAATGTAATGGGGGAGGTAAGTAAGCCTTTATACGGGCCCAAGTGGCCCATGGGGCCGGTGCTTAACTCTGGTTTTCTTAGCATGAAGCGGCTAGGAGTATTGCTACTCCCCCCTGGATGGGATGCTGGTCCATCGCAGGGTTACCACCAGCACATTTTCTGGTACACATTTGTACACCTGGGTGAAGAGAAGCACTGTGAGAGTAAAGTGTCTTGCCTAAGAACACAACACAATGACCCTGGCCAGGGCTTGAACCCGGACCACCTAATCCGGAGTAGAGCGCACTAACCATGAGGCCACTGTGCCTCCACAAGGGGGAGGTAAACAGTCAGTTATTTCCTTGCTGTTGTTACCTTTCTTAACCTTTTAACTCCTTGGAGCTACTAGCATCTAATTTCTCCCTGTAGGAACACCCCTGAATCAAACATGAAGATCACGCGAATACAGGAAATGATCACAAACCACAGAAGCTCTAGATTTTTAAACAAATTCTCTTTGTCAGCACCTTAGGACATAAATAGTAAATAGTACGGCAAATATAAATACTGATGTTAGGGTGTAGTGGGTTATTTTAAGTAAACTGAACAAAACAATTAAGCCGTATGTAAATATGTGAAACACAACAAGAAGTAAAAGGATCAGTTTGACTAAGTTTGAGGAGATCAAGGTTACACCAGCACAACAAAAAGACAAAGATATTGCTAATTTCATGTACCAACCCAGCTTAGCATTTTTAAAATAAGCCAAAACAGAATATATCAGTCAACTAAGATAGGTGAGATGTTGAGACCACCTTAACAATAAAAACAGCTCCAACTCACCTTCTTTAGAAGCTTTTGAAATAATACTGATGACTCTACTGTAATGACCTACAAGACAGACATGAGTAATTACTACTTCATCACCAGTTCATTTTTGATCTACATCCACGTTTTTGTTTTTGGTGACATTTCATCAATTCACTGTATCATTGCTTTAATTACCTTCTCAAAACCGAGTTTGGCTGCCATGACAGGAAGCAATGACCCATCACTGATACACAGACATCTAGAATGACCCTCTGCAACCAACTGGCAAAAAAATAAACATCTTGTTGGTAACTGATTTTATTAGATTTATCCTTCAATTTCTATTTAGTAGACTCCCCTGCAACATATGTATGGAAGGGGTAAAAGTGGGAGGATAATCTGGTTAATACAGTGGAAATTCACGTAGGATGTAGCTGTTTTTACTTGGTTTACAGGAACTCCTCTGAAATTGTCACATAATAATAATCCAAACCTTGAACTGGCAAGAGGCAAAACATTTACCAGTAGGTTAATTTTGTAGTGAAATGGAGTTGTTGAACTAGAGACAAATCCAGCTTGAGGTCAGCTTAAGATCAAAAATTAAACAAATTGTATCACCCAGTGGGTCTGTTCAGATTCCCAATGCAATTGACCAATTTGACTAAGAGACCAGTGACCTGTATAATTAAGGATTGAGAAACTCCTTAAGGAGGGAGGGAGGGAGGGAGGGGAGGGGTTTTTTTTTTTAGGGCACAAGACTTAGTACTTATTTAAGAGGTTCAAGGAACTAATTTGTAACCTGTCTCAATGCCTCTTTAAAAGCCTGTGATCTTTGCCTGTCATTCAACAAAGCAAATCTGTGACGACTCCAGGTGACATGGGCACCACATGTGCAGAGCGGACGATCAACTGTTGTTACAATTCTGAATACACAAAACATTAATATGTCACACAATTAATAACATAGTAAAACTCAGATCTTTGCATAATAAGGCTAATGAGGTCAACATTACTCTCAAACATTATATACCTTTTGCCCCAGTTATAATGATTAGTTTCTTTTCCAGGGTCTAGATGTACAAAATGACTTGGAACACAAATATGACAAATTCATGATCCAGAGTGAACCTGTTTGATAAATTACTAAACCTACTGAAACCTTGTGAACAAATACCTCTTAAAGAGAGGCTTGATAGAGCATGAAGATAATATGTAAACACTTACAAATAGACCCCTCAATAAATTGAGCTCCCTATAAAATGCAAGGACTTGAAGTAATCAAACTCTGCCACTATGTGTTGGACATACCTATTCACTGGTGTGACATCGAACCAAATGCTGTAGTCATCATGGTAACAGTGAACATTTATTTTGTCACCTGTGGGGGAGAAATTTCATTTGATCAAAAATTTGTCCCATTCTTATCAATTTTTTGGAGTACAACAACTAATTTGCTGAGGGTTTTTACCATTAATGTCATTAAACCCTTGTAAAAGATAATGTAAGTGCTGTTAAATTATCAGATTTCAAATTTTTCAAATCTGGCACCTTCTTGCATGGCCAACGGTGTCTTTAAGAAATAGACAGCCTGCATCCAATGATCTCTCCACTATCAAACAAAACAAGAAATGAAACCCATAATTTATTTCATTTGAAAAATAGTAATAGATGATATATGTCAACTAAATACCACCCTCTCTCCAATCTTCGAATCAACAGAACTTATCTTCTTAGGGGAAAATTGCCAGACATAATAAACTCTCAAGAACATCCAACAAAGTAACATGCAGTATTGGTTAGGAGAATTAGTTTTCAAATCTGAGAATAGGAAAGGTTAACCTTTTACACCCTAACATCAGTATTCATATTCTCTATACAGTTCTCCATACATTTACTAAAGCACTGATAAGGAAAATTTGTCTAACAATCAGCAGTTTCTTTGGTTGGTGATCATTTCCTTTATTCTCATGACTTAAATGTGTGATTCAGTGGTGATATTGTAAGGAGAAATTAGATGCTAGTCACTCTTAGGGGTTAAAGGGTTAAGTGAAAACAACACTTTCTAAACACCTGTCTTTTGTGGCCATCAGGGTGTACCCAGCGTGGAGCAGTTGACAAGATAATTTCACCATTCATGTCCATATCTAAAGACCACCACATGACCACTCCATGTACAGGACCTGTCTGGGTGACTGAAGCCTCAACATGATAATGAGACACTGTTTTATCACTGTCAACTTTGTCTTTGGTCTCTGGTATTGACACTCTGTTGGTGCAGTGGGTATTCTTTGACTGACATCCACTACAGAATTCAACCCTGACAAGAGAAGGTTATTATCAATGACTATGCTGTTAGGTTAATACAAATAATGTCATGGTATATATGGCAAAGACAGGGAGGAAGCAGAGAAGAAAGCAAATTCAACCACAACATTGAAATGAGAGAAAAAAATAGTTTTAGAATGGACATGCTTGAACAAACAATAACCTAAGTAAACATGATCTAGCAATTGTCGCAATGATGAACAGCAGTAGTGAAAATAACCTAAGTAATAGCTAGCCAGTGCGAATATGGAGGGCAGGTGTAGTAAATACAGAAGAGACACAAAAAACAAGAAGATTAAGATGGGGGAGGGGGCAACAATTGGTTCAATTTTAGCATAGTGACCTGTGAAAAAGACAACAACTGGTGAATTAATATTCCTTCATTGCTGTCTCTTTCACCAGTCAGAATATAATTTGTTATCAAATAGCACCATCCATGAGCAGATTCCTTTCTGGAGAACATTTAGTATAAGCACTAAACTGAGTTAAGTCAGTTATCCATTGGTTCAAGCTCACTGAAGCACAACTGATTTTAGCTTTTTTTTCTGCAACAGTTATCCCATTGAAGCACGTTCAACTGATTTTAACTTTTTTTCTTCTGCAACAGTTATTCCATTAAAGCATATTCAACTGATTTTAGCTTTTTTTCTTCTGCAACAGTTATCCCATTGAAGCACAGCTGATTTTAGCTTTTTCTTTTCGGCAACAGCTTTAACTGCAGTTTACCAGCCAGTCTTGCATTTATGCATGTCTAAATCCTGACATTTGATTTAAATCTCCCTATCTAAAAATTAACATTACATCATTATGACTCTGGATGTGGATTTTACCTAACAATTGGAACAGGTGATGTAAAAATATGAATTTCTTCATCAGAAAGCTCATCAACATGTAGATCAAAACCACTTGCAGTCCCACGACAATCTTTCATATCAGCAGGTAAGGTAATATCTTGGTTGTCTAACATCTGAGCAGAAAGAACTTACAACTGAGTTTTATCAAAGTTAGCTCTACCAGAGCTACCTTTGTTTAAATGTCTTTAAATGTCACTTGCAACCTCAGTTCGAGCCATCAATAACCTAGAAAAGTTGACTACATTTACTTAAGACATACATCAAAACAAGACATAAGGTTAAGAACATTTCATACATGTATACTAGGCCTACAAGTATAATATATATTGCATGTCACACTGTTCACTCCCAGTAACAAAGCAGGGTATTATAAAAATCAACCAAACAAGGAGGCTAGGAAGAAATCAATTCAAATTTCACAAATTCCACCCTTCTCATTTGCTTTTGTGGCTTGGTTTGCCTTTTTTCATACTCATAAAAGAAAGACACATGTGATGTTCTCCTTTCTCAAACTGCGATTTACAATTGTTAAGGCATTCTTACTACCTGCTGTGGATTTAACTGGTGCATACTCCAAAGTGCATCACTTCCTATAACTTGAGCATAAATTGTAGCTGCTGCTGGGACACTGACAAATCCTGGCTATAGAGATAAATCATTGTTAAAGTTTGTGCTACATCTTTAATAAAAGCAAACTCAGATTCTATAATTAACCTGATTCTGACAATTTACAGTACTTCAAGAGTCATGCTGTTTTGTGGACTGTAACATAGGCAAACAAGATAAGGAAATAAAAAATACTTGCTGAAAACAAAATTTACCATTTACATTTCCTATTTACTATTGACAAAATTAAGAAAATTTATACCTCCAGTAAGCGATTGCAAGCATCCCTTAGAGTTGGTAGTGCACCTTCTCCAATAAGTTCTGTATCCCAAAGTTCTGTTACTAGTAAGTTAGCTCTGCTTTGGCAATTTCCATCTGTAAGAAAAACCAACAATTACTTGTCAATTGAAACTGAATTTTCTATAAGCACCTTGTAAAAACAATCACCCACTACATTAATTGAAATAACAGTTATGAGTATTGCAGGATGTACAAATTATATTAATTAGCTGCCAAGTGCATTGCCCACCAAATCTGAATACTACAAGGTATATATAGAACTGACAAGATTTATTAATCGAGTACTATCATTTCTAATTCTCTTTACAAGATGATTCTCTCCAATTCTCTGATGCTCTTCCAGATCTCTAAAATCATGCTGCAGTAACTTCCCAAGGCTGAGACCCAATACTTCTTGTAACACATAGGTAAGTTATTGACCATCCTTGGACCTGTATTGAGGATGACCAATAACTTACCTAGTAAAAAAAGTAAAGCCTTTATACAGGCCCAAGTGGCCCATGGGGCATGAAGCATGAAGTGGCTAAGAGTATTATTACTCCCCCCTGGATGGGATGCTAGTCCATTGCAGGGTTACCCCCAGCACATTTGCTGGTACCCATTTGTACACCTGGGTGAAGAGAAGCACTGTGAGAGTAAAGTGTCTTGCCTAAGAACACAACACAGTGACCCTGGCCAGGGCTTGAATAAGTTACCGAAGCCTGGTAAAAATGGTTTCAAGTGCAATTATCATCAATTTTCATCATCATTGTCATTATCACTCTGCACCATATTCCATCCACAATAGATAATTACTATTACATCTATCAAAATGATAAATTTTTTTACCTTCTTCCATTGATAATTCAGTTGAGCGTTTCCCAATAACTGAGATTTTGTCACCAAATCCATTCTTTTTCACTATTTCACTAGCTACTTTAGCAATAGGTTCAAATGCCTGACAAATACAAAGTAAGCAGATTTGAGAATCCAGAATAACACAATTTGTTTCATGCATACTAAAAAGGTGATTGGTTACCTCGCAAGCAGTGGCCCCATCTGCCCCACTCCTCACAGCCATCATGGCCAGAAGTCCAGTCCCTGTTCCAATATCTAGCATGTGAATTTTTTTCCCAGCAGCTTTGATATTTTTGACAGCGTCTTTGGTTGCCTGATAGTACATTTTGTTCTACAGCGAAAAAGGATACAAAAATCTAAGAAACAACCAGTTTTCTTTTTTCTTTTCTAGCGGATCTACTGAGTGATTTTCCTAGCTGAACATGTCCTGAGAAACTCCTTCATAAGTGTCTCTTTTTTGCTCAACAATTGCAACTTATAGGATTCTATCAAAATCCTACCCTCTCGTCATCGTGAAGCATGTCTGCATAAGACGATCTGTGGAAGAAAGATGGAAGAGAATAACTTCGCTGAGTTTGTCTCTGGCTCGATCGTATTTCACTTTCCACACTACAGTTATCCTGTCAAACACGAATGTAACGATCTCCTTAAATTACCTCGCGATTTCATTCCTCATGTCGTAATATTCATCCTCCATGACCCATTCCATTCTTCCTGTAGTTGGACTGAACCTCTGTAAAAACATTTCGCTTCTCAACCGACCAGAGAAGCCGTAAAATCTCTCAGCTATTTTAGAAGAAAACGTACACAACTTCCTCAAATAGATCGAAGAGACCATTCCCAACAACATGTGGGTTTTTCTAACAGGTTATTTGATTGGATTCTGTACTCCTGGCCAATGAAATTACGCGTTGTATAAGACTATAGTGAGGAGCGCCTATAGCAGCTTCTGTAGCCTCTACTACATTCAATAGCGGTGTAGACCTCACAGGAATGGACGGAGCTCTAGATGGCAATATGAAAACCCCGTCAAATCAGTCTCATTTACTGGACTTGTGCCACAGTAGAGTAAAAAAATATGCGGAAAAAAGACACGTAATTGCCCATGAAGTTCAAACAAATCCGGAGTTCCTGACCGCAGGAGTTCTTGTTCCAATTTTTATCAGAGAGGGATCTCTTTATACCCTTCTCACATTGAGATCTGAGCATTTACCCACTCATAAAGGAGAAGTTGCATTTCCTGGAGGAAAAAAAGAAGATGACGATGAAGACATTGTAGCCACAGCTTTAAGAGAAGCTCACGAAGAAGTTGGTTTATCTCCGGAGATAGTACAAGTCGTTGCAGTATTGAGTCCACTGACATCGCGTGCGAGAGCAAGGCCGATGTACGTGTATCCGGTAATTGGCCTCGTAAAGTCACAATTTGACTTAGTAATCAACAACTCCGAGGTTCAGACTACGTTTGAGGTCCCTCTGGAGTTTTTCCTTTCGAAAGAAACACATAAACGTGATAAAATGAATTTCAAAGGCAAGACATTTGAATTTCATTTCTTCTCGTATGACACAGGTGTAGGTGAAGGCGAGAGCCAAAAAGAAAATTCGACCTTCCATATTTGGGGATTAACTGCTTCAATTTGCTTAAGGGTGGCTATGGTAGCTTTGAGTAAACTACCCGAGTTTGACCTTGAAGAACACTACACAGAACTTATGCAGTACATAACAGAGATAAATGGAAATGATGATGATGATGAATTAAAACCTCTGAGTAGAATGTGAGAAAAATAAGGCCATGCTGAAATTTTGTGTTCAATAATTCTGCTAACCATCCTGTAATCCTTTTGGGGGAACGTCACAAGACAGTAATAATAACCTATGCTTCCGACATACCACATTATTTTTCTAAATATATTTAAAAAGTGAGGTTGTAGATTAAAAGACACTCAATGATAGTCTTACAAATGATTTAGAGTTGAAGCCAGACAGGTCTTAATTATTTTTATCGGCAGCTTCACCCTGGTACCCTTTATCTTGATATTGTGACTCATAGATTTCATAGATTGAATCATAGATTGTTCATAGAATGAACTTTAATATAGATTCAATTTGATGGCAATAGGAATTTGCCTTTGCCTCACTTACCCCTCCCTCCCAAAAAATGAAGCCTGCTTTTGAAAGTCTTTTTCATTGCTAGTATTTCTCTGATTTAAGATACTGAATTTTTCAGACATGCGATATGACCGAAATCCCTAAAACTTTGCTATTGATTATCTGCAGAGAAGTATTTTTGTGACTTACCCCTCCTTGCTGCAACAAAAAGGCCCTATCTGGGGTCCCCATAGAAATGGTGACGTCACCATTTTGCTGCACGCACCACTCAGACAAATGCTGAAGTCGCGATTAATTCGACGGTCGTGGGCACTGTAAAGGCTTCCCTTCTCTTCTTTGCTTTAGATACGTTTGTTTTTCACATCCTTTGAGTTGCATCATATCTAGAGGGAAAATGCCGTTGGTTTTTCTCGAACAACTGCCTCTTCCCTCTCTGCAATCATATGTGACTGTAAGCGTGTTGTTGTTCGTTTCGGCCGTTCTCTACGCATTGAATGTCACTGTTGGTTCTGATGAGAAGGAGGAGTTGAATATTTACGATTTTATGTCTCAGGATAATTTTTGTTTTTGGGTAAGTGTTTTTTCGCTTTTACTAAAGTGCTTTTTAGCCGAGAATTGAGTATTCCTCTAATATTTGCCCTTGCATTTTACTCCCTTAGTCGAACTTGAACATGGCCTACTGTTGTTTGTTTTTGTTCGGGAAAATTATCCAAAGGGTTGTATTTGGAGATCTTCGCGCCAGTGAACTTCAGGTAACTGATAAAACGACAGTTTAGGATGGTATGTTTTCTGAAAGTTATAACCGTAGCCTAATTAAGACCTGATAAGCTTTGTACACCCGCTAAAATGACCGACCGGACAACAAGTAACTCCTCGAGAATATAGTAATTATGGTCGACTTTCAACTATTGATCTTTTGTTTAATTAGCTGTGCATCTTGCCTTCCTTCTTATATAATGTTTGATTTGATTCAATCTCGTGAGAAGTAAAAAGTTAGGAGAACGGTAGTGATCCAGATCGATTTCCTTTGCACTCCAACGTTTTCTCAGACTTCCTACTCTTACTTATTTTGAAAAGATATTTTGAAACTTACCCAAACGTGTATACATTAACCATAATAACGTGCTCACTTTTTCTTCACACCGTAATCAATTCGCTCATCATGACAAAGCTTACAAATGCAGATTTTGGTTTTACTTGTGAGCTAAATATTGGCCATCTTAAACTTCAGTCTTGCTCAAATATTTGTTCCATTTGTGGTTTGAGGTTTGGATGTCTACCAGTGAGAGCCAGTCTAAAGTGATTGGTTCACATAGGAACAACATTTTAACCAAACCATGTGGAGAGTTTAAACGGATTTTGGTCTTTGTCTTACAGCAAATTCAAGACAGATTCTGGAACTTTATTTTCTACAAGTTTATTTTCATCTTTGGAGTTCTAAATGTGCAGAAATTCAATGAAGTGATGTGGTGGACGGCTTGGTTTACTCTACTCGGCTTCTTTCATTTGTTCACACAGCTCTGTAAAGACAGATTTGAATATGTAAGTCATTAGTGTCTTGCCTTGATTGTTAGCTGTCTGAATTACGCCTGCTATGGTAGCTTAATTGAGGGCAATTTTGTGTCCCATACCCTCAGATATCACATTGAAATTATTGAGAAGTTTTTGTTTATTTTTAGATTGTTGTTTCGTTTATTTTTGTTTTTTTCGTGTCAGAATGAGTACGTTGGACTTCAGGGTAAAGGGTCATGGTGTGAACAGAGAGTGATATAACAAAGCCATAGTCTTTTGAAAATCACTTACATTATGATTCAATCTCTTATGGGGCATGCAGACATCTCAAGAGAATTTTGAAAGAACAATTGTTCTTCTCTAATGAGTATTCTGTCCTTGTAGGGAGTGAGAGGGTATAAACAAAGTAAAGGAATTATTATTCTACCACCACTTGCCTGAGCTGATATGTTTTATCAGTTGAAATAAATATTGAGGAAATGTTTTTCCTGGTTCTAAGAAATGATTGAATCATGACCATTTACAGAGGAACATGAGAAGATACATCATAGTGAACAAACAAACTGAATTGGCTTTTGTTTCTTCTATATTTTGTTATTTTTTTTCTTAATGTTCTTTATGCCCACACACTTCATTTTACATTTTCTTGTATAATATTAATGGTACAGTTAATCATTATACTATGAAGGCTCTTTTCTTCCTGGTCAGAGGAGCGTCTGCTTACAATTAATAGATTTTTAAGCAAGTTTATCACTAAATATACCCCTTTAATTTTTTCCTTTAGTTGTCTTTCTCACCAACAACGTCTCCTTGGTCTCATGCAAAAGTGATTGGTTTACTCAATACTTTGGTGTTATGTTGCAATGGATTGTTCTTCATCTGTCTTTTTATTGGTTGGCCAGATGGCATACACACTTTCACATTCATGTTGGCTGAGGTACATATATAGTCTATCTTTGCAGTTACTTTGTGTAGATGATTACTGATTTTTAAATGTTATCTTCTCTTATGAGAAGTTTCACAGTATATGATTTTATTTTTCAGTGTATGTTGTTACTGATCAAAATAGTTCATGGTCTGATAAGGTAATTTCTATTTTGATAGTTACATGATAAGTATAAAATGCATGTGATGATGTTGTTCTTCTTTATTATTTTAAACTCTTCTGCTAGCAAGCTGTGAGTGACCTTGTGATTGAGGTGGATTGAGGTGTTTGTATGGCACTTTATCTTGGACAGGCACTTCTCAGAAAATTTTCAGGGATGAAAATTACCAGGATAGTTACCCCTTGCTCCCATCTCCAATCTTGAATAAAGCAGTCCAAAATTTGAAATTCATTTGATTCACAGTATCCAGACTTGTTACCAATAAACCTCTTTATATCCTGTAGGTATGGCATTCATCTGTGGGATATAGGTCATACCAGTATGTGGGAAGGAAGAAGCACATGGAGTTACAACACAGACATGATGATGGAATTGGCATTGTACATTGTGGACTTTGCTCATCACCTTCACATGTTGGTGAGAATGAATTAAATATTAATTCTGTTGGTATTTCTGTTTGAAGTAAATGTGCCCCTAAATTTTCCATTCCCCTGGGCAGTAAATGAGATAAATGATATCCAATGAAATCTGTGCTGTGTCACAAAGATAATTATTACTCAAATTACAATTACACAAATGTTTATTGATAGTAATTCTGGTAATTGA